CAAGACAAGCTTTCACTACTCTCAAGTCTGTGTGGAGGTCAACAGCACTCAGCATCAAAAATAAGATCCGGATTTTCAACTCCAATGTGAAGTCAGTGCTACTTGTTATACGGATCAGAGACTTGGCACCGCGTCATAAAGAGCATCTCCAACAAACTACAGACCTTCATTAACAGTTGTCTTCGCTCAATACCACTCACGATCAGATGGCCAGCCAGAAAAGATTAGCAACAGAGATCTCTGAGAGCGAACCAACCTAGCAGGAACCGATTGTGAAACAAATATGCAGGAAGAAATGGAGATGGATTGGCCATACTCTGAGGAAACCATCAAGTGACATCACTAGACAAGCCATTGCTCGAGTGGAACCCGAAAGAGAAGCGGCGAGTTGGTCGTCAGTGCAAGGGTGACTTGGAGGAGGTCATGTGAAGAAGAGATGAAAACGTGTGGGCAGACATTGAGCCAGGTGAAGACTCTAGCAGAGAACCAAACGCAATGGAGACGCACGGCTGAAGCCCTATGTTCCTCTAGGAATTAAAGGATACAACAATAATAGTTATTATCCACTGTTGGTGATGATCTTTTACTAAGCCCTTGAGATGACTGATTTTCAGGGCAACTTTCTTACATATTAGAATGAGATTTCGTAAAAATCAGTTCTTATATGCTTATTACTCAATACTGTCTACGCTGTTTCACTTATGGTGTTTTGTGCTTTAGGTAGTTGGTAACTTATCTCCTGTGTTTTCAGAATATCTCCGAGGGTGTGTTGATGATTGCTTAGCAAACAAATAGTACTCTTGTGATATAACCATTTTTTGTCTTCATATGTTTGATGCATCTGAAGAATTACATGCAGAATACTGCAGGTACCGAGTGGCGAGCCACATCTAATTCTTGAAAGCTGTAGTACTACAAGTTGTTTATTTGTGTGATGGTTACCAGCAGTGGAATCCAGGATGCACCGTCCATCCTGTTTGGGGCTCATCTGCTGGATACATCTGCTTTATGGTGGGCGACTGTATTCCCAAACCTCAGCACTCATTATTTCAAACGCCAAATGAGTCACGAGAGTCATCTTTTGTTCATTGTCGAAGCATCAGTACTGGGATCCGACATGTCAACAGAGACCAAGCATTTTACTTCAATGAAACCAGTCAATTAGAAACTCAAAATGGTTTTAATAATTAGTAGACATAACACTACATAGCTTTTAAAATCTTGGTTAGCTGAAAAACACTTATTTACAGGACTTACTCATTGAAATAATACATTGAATGGTATACAACAGTGTAAATTTACTTCTTTGTATCGTCTCACACCATTCATGGAATTACCTATCTCGGAAAAATGTGATGAGCTTTAATGTATCAGTGATGTGTCTCAGTGTTGCATAAGCTGACGGGAGATTGGTTCTGAAGGAGGGGGGGGGGGGAGGATGTACTTTGGTGACTAGAGCTAATAAGCATAAAACTCTAGTCTATTGCTTTCTGTTGATTACCTTCAACTATCTAACGTCAGTTCAAAGTGCACCTTAATAGCAAAGCACCTAACATGGTGACCATACTACAGACTTGACTGACGGAACTCAGTTAGTACCGACACTAAGGACTGGACACATGACGTTGAATACATCTTAGTGACCAGTCAGTTTAGATATCCATTTGAATAGAAATGTTACTAACCTAATTGTGATGCAGAATCGGTATCTAAAGATAGAAAGAATATAGTAAGATTTAAGTGAATCGTTAGAATATTGTGTATTGAGTAATTCGTGTGTTTGAATTTATTTGTTTGTTCACAAAGTATTTTGAAATGGTGTACACTGTCATGAGGAGTGTATGTACACATACTGTGAATATTTCAGTTAAAATCTATGTTTTTTACACTGCTCTGGAACAGTAATCAACACTTGCACATTTCTTAGCGAAATTGACTGAAATTCACCAAAACATTGGGTATGTAGACGTTACATTCTACTTGTTACTAAAGGCATACAAATGATCAGACAGGTTATCGCACAATGTGATACTTAGTTGCATGCTTGATTTATCTAGTGCTTTGAGTCGCTTAAACTCTTGGCTGTGGAACAGTGGTTTTCGGATTTGAAACTGCATCCATACCATCAAACCAGTAGTGGTTTCGACTTTAACCAACTTCGGCGATTTAGGAATTAACTTGTTACCAGGGTCGGGTTTCGTCGATTTAGAATATTCAAATGATATAGTCATCCTAAGTGATAATGATTGCAAATTGTAGAGGCTTCTGAACACGTAGGTCAGAAATCTTAATACATTTGGCATACGATTTGCTCGTGCCAAATGTAAGATGCTGCAGCAGGACTAATCTGCACCAACTCCCAGTTTAAGGATAGTAAGTGAAGTGTTTGAGCGTGTTGACTGCTTCACTTATTTGGGAAGTTACATCAGGCCTAATGGACTGACTGCTGATGAAATCTTAGCACAGATGCTCGAGGTTCATGTGGCTTTGCCAGCCTATGTCATCTCTGGCGTAGACGTAATATCTTGCAATTGATAAAAGGATATCTGTACTGCGCGCCACTTCCCTGTATCCTCCTTTATGGCTGTGAGACATGGCCATTGAAGGTGGAAGATATGAAAAGATTAGCTGTCTCTCATCATAGGTATCTGCGTTCCATTCTTTGTGTTTGGTATAATATAGTAAGTAATACTGAGGTTAGGCGTCGAGTAAGGGTAAGTTAATGGATAAAGTCGTGAAACCGCATAGATTCAAAAGGTCGGGGCGTGTGTTACGCACATAGAACCACGTATCTCGTCAGGCGGTGATAGTTAACGTGAGATCGGGTTGGTAAAGAGTTAGGAGTGGGAAAGCCGGAAAAGGTAGTGAATCTATCAAGATTTTGACTGTTGGTGTAAACTGCCTGACTGGAAACTGTTGGTGATATGGCTGAAAATCGTCGCCAACAACACAGAGCATTCACTGTTTATGAATTCTAAGATCCATTCAGCCCTTATTTTTCTGTCCATGTGATTGTCCTTTTCCCGTATATCTATGCTAATTAGTTCTTTTGAATTTTTCTTTATTTCTACTCTAATATGTGCTTTATGAAATGTGACTACTTGAAGTGTTGCACTGTTTGTGCTAATTTTTATTTTTAAAGTTCATTTCAAGTCCTTGACACGCGAGTAATATTACAATCTTTGATGAACAAAATATGGCCCATAGTCTGTTAATGTAAAGTAGTGTATGAATAGTATTGAATCCTATGAATTTGGAATTGTATATATTAGAGAGTAGGTTAGTTTCACTGTGCATTACTTGTCAATGCTGCTGGTTAGCTGAAGTTAGATAAGTGAAGGAAGTACAAAATTCAATCTGGTGAATTAAAAAGACAAGTTCGTAACTAACCAAGTACAATGGCATCAATGATGTATTTACTATTGAATGTTGGAAGGTAGGATCTCTAAAAAGCCCTGCATTCAGGTTTTCCGGGGTCGCTAACACGATATCACTATGGTTCGAGAATTCTTGTAATTCAGCGAAGCAATCTGGAAAAAGAAAATGGAAGAAAGAGTCAATTAGTGAAGAATTGTTTATATTGATTTTTTTTAATTTTAGAGTATAATATCACATTATGCCTAATCTATGTGTTTTACGAGTTGATCACGGACTGATATCAGTTAGAGAACCATTGAAAACCAGGGAGTACTGGACAGCTGCTGTTTCATCCTAGTTTGGGAATCATTGGCAGTACGCACCCACTGGGATTCGAACCCAGGACCTTCCGGTTACAAGGCAAGCTCGTATACCATTCAGCCACAAACATAACTAATCCTTACAAACCAAACTATAGAAAATTAATCTATGTGTAGTAAATTATTAATGTACATTTTTGTTACGGGGAAAAAGGTATATACTATTGGTTAGGTCGATTAGTAAATGCACTCCAAGTTAAAGCAAATAATACATCTGGTTACAGATCCAAACCTAATCCTAAAAACTATGGTTTGATCGTCTAGAATCTATGATCAGTCCTTTGGATATAACTGTGTGTTGTTACTCATTGTAAGTATATGCTTACTTTGTTTTCAAGACTAAGAGGCATTTCCCTTCATTTTAAATATCACGACAGTTTTCATCTAGTGTATGTGGGTCTCATTCTTTTAAATATCCGTTGAATTCTACTTTTTGTGATGTTTATTATTATTATTCATCCATTCCTCGTGCTCGTAGAGGAACATAGAGCTTAAGTAGCATATTTCCATTGTACTGGGTTCTCTGTCAACACTTTCAACTGGTTCCACCATCGCCTGCACTATTCATTTCTTCTTCGCATGATCTCCGTGTAACCTTTGGATGACCAAACCGTTACTTTCCATTTGAGTTCTATTCACGGCTCCAATGTGTGGTATCACTTGATTATTTTCTCAGGATGTCCTTCTGGATACCTTTTGGGCACAATAGGTTGTTGAATTGTCCACTGCCAATCAAAGTTCCTTGATGCCCATCCTTTCCGGACATCTGGTAATCAGTAACGAGTGAAGAGGGGGGGGAGGTGTTGATGAAAGTCTACAGCGGGCTGTTGGAAATACTTTTGGCGACGCGTGCATCGTGTCTCTGAACAATATAGAAGCACTGACTTGACAGTAGTGTTAAAAATATTTATAATATTCCTTGTGCTGAGGGCTACTGATTCACAAACTGATTTCAGCGTTATAAAGGCCTGTATATTTCCTGATGATACTGAATTCTTATTAGGCACAACTTTGGTATAAATTGGTAATGGCGTTTTCATCATACAAAATACGACAGTAAAATAAGTAGTGAATGAAAAGAAAACCTTTTGTCACCATTTATGCTATCATTCTGAACCAGAGAACTTTATCTTGCTACATTCTGGGCATCTCCATTATTGATTCTGACTCATTTATATCAAGTAGCTCAGGCTTCTCATAACTTCCATTTGTTTGAAAATAATTTATATACTTATCATTTATTTGTTTACTTTTATCTGATAGCATCGTATACTGGATCTAGTTCCGGTGATGATGAAGTAGAGAGTCAACAACGTGAAAATCCAAGAGAACGTTATATGAAGCCTGGACTAAGAGCTGTAAGTTATAGTTGTGCACCTTATTCTTGCATTTCGTCTCGACAGTATACCTTCTGAAGTAAGAATTATTTTTGATGTTTTTGTAGTGAGAAATTGCGGTATCTTACAACAGAAAGTATACAATAATGTTTTCTTTGGTTGGTGTTTCTCTAAGCTCTAGAGCTAAGGATACATTACTCGACTGTATTTCCATTTGTTGTCTTCCGTGTGCTATCAGAATAAAAGATTACTGGATACAGAAACAGTCCTTTTATCATCTCACCTGATACACACATTGATTACAGCCTGGTTACAATTGAAAGTGAGTTCAACTATCAACTGAGTGGCTTCTAACGTGATGAGAATAAAGGCGTTTATAGCCTTGAAGCACGTGTCGTTTCTGTATGGATTTTTTCAACTTTCTGATGCCTGTTAGTGCTTACCGGTTTATAGATAGCAAGTGCAATAAAATGCGTATAAAATCGAACAGTGCTTACTCAGACAGATAGAAATTAAGTGTATGTCAGATGGAAACAACAGCTGCATTGAATAATAATTGGAGGTTGTTCTAGTTAACCGGGCCACCGATAGCTAGAAGCATGGTGTATTAGCGAGACAGATGGCATGACAATTAACAACATAAGGGGACTGCTGGGAAGCTGACAGTGATCCTTGGGAAACTGTCTAATTGGCCCATGGGGTCAGTATCTACTACTTTTAGTTATAGTGATTTATAGTCGGTTAGCACTGATCTAACTAGCAGAGCGATGGTTCATAAGGTAATATTGGTACCCATTCTCCATAAGGCACACTTTTCAGACAACTTTACTCCGGCACTTTCCGAAAACGGTGGTCAGATTACATTCGGGGAACTGATGAGATTTTTTCGGGAAAGTATATACGACTGAAATTGTCATATAGTATTCATTGCACCTATATGTAAAAGATGCCTACATAGTGCTTCTGGTAATCATCAAGGTAATAATCTGTTACCAGTTGCATCTAAAATGCTAACTGCTATCGGGCTCTGCAAGCTTTAATAAACGGGAAAAATTGATGAGTAGTGAGCATGCTGTTTTCGTTCAGATGATTGATTTGTCAATTATGTGTTCACCTTTCGTCAGTCGTTACATCTTCATCATCATCACCCATATTCAAGGCCAACGGTCGTATCTCTTAATTTTAGGGCTCTCTTGCATTCATTGAACAGGACAGTCAGGAATTTTGTTCTAGGTGGAGATCTGATTCTTGGACAGCAACTTCTCTGACGCGAATATGTATTGCGAATATCATCTCAGTTGTTTCTATGCAGTTCTCTGTTTGCTATTCTTAGGACAAGATAAAAAATGCGGAGAAATTGTCTCCTGGCTCCACAATTGCCCATAAACTTTCGTCTCCTCCTCACACCATCTCCTCTATGTCATCCTTTGTTGCCTGATTCGTTGTTTCCCATCTGGGTCCCATTCAAGGTTACGTCTGGTGTGTGATATCACTTAACGGTTTCCTCAGTGTATGTGCAATCCATCTCTATTTTTTGTATAACTTTTCAGTTATTACGCCTCGTACAATTCACCAGGAAGTAGTTCAGCATGACGTACATTTTAGCACCTGTCTTTCAGACAATGATTCTCACTTTCGAATCCCACTCTATCTACTTTTAACTTGGGAGACTAGATAGTATCATCAATCGTCGCCCAATAAGTATGGCTCATAGTACATGAAAAATATATTCAAGGCAAATGAGTTCTAACCAGAAAAATAGTTATCAATTGCTAATAAAATAAAACGTATAGTTCAAAGTTTTCAGTATTATTCTGAGTGTAATTTTTTGTTGAAAACTTGTTTTGTGCTTCAACTCCCAGGTTAACTCTAGAGGATTTAATGATTTTTGCGTTCAAAAAATACGTCAAGCATCATTTGGACGAAGGGAGATTGACATAGCTGAACAAGGTAAGTGTAATCACAGTTGGCAAATCACTTCGAGTAAGGTCATATAAAGGAAATTTTCTGTTTGCTTTTCTGTACTGATGGTTTGTAGTTTTACGTCTGTTTATTTCATAATTACTTAGCGTAGAGCTTTGAGCTACATGCCCTATTTTTTGTCTGCGACACATTGCCGGTTTCCCAAACCTCCTCATAGGTGGAGGGGGTTTCAGGAGCTTGACGGTATCCTTCATACTATTGTTGCTGTGTGTTTTTGTGTTGTCTCTAATGCAGGATTATTTAGGCCTCCTGGGTTACTGATTGATTTTAGTTTTCATAGTACAGCGCTGTCGTGCAGTTGGCAGTAAGCCACACCTATTTTACGAGGGCTAGTGATGATATCTGGCTGCCCACACCTTAGCAGACGAACCCGTAGTAAACTTGTTAGACGTCGAATACCTAGATCAAGGAGCTAACCAACCAGTAAAAGTAAAAGACTGTAAACATACATCTCTGATTATCACCAATAACCCTGTAACCTATATATATATATATATATATATATATATATAATAGTTGTTTGGAGACGACGCTCGTCAGTGTAAGCAGTCGGCTTTCAGCTAATTGGTTAGGAATTTGAATCCCACCCCATCCACTTCAGTCTGAACAACTGGAAAGTATTATCGACTCTCATACAACAAGTATGGCTCATAGACTTTTTCATTCTATTGCGCTCCGAGTGGATCATAGGGTTTCCGACTTGAAGCCTTGGAGTTTCAGTAGTGAAGGTGTTGTTCCTTTTATGAGGTAGGGTTGCTAGCCTCAAGTCTAGACTTTCTTTTCATCGCTTTCTATCGACTAGTGCGTCAGCTGGGAATTGAACCCCAGGCCATGTGCATGGTTAGCGAGCATTCTACCAATGAACCGTCGACGCTGGGCGCCTCGTCGAGACATAAACTCGGTTCGCTGGATGCAAAGTCTAGAGCGTTAACCGATGCACCAAGAGGCTCATAGCCTGGTACATGAAATTCCTCTCCCGATTGACTGAATTTTAACGCAGGATAGTTAGTGTTCACAAAAATGTATTTTGATTCTACTTAAGAGGTTTTGAATTCGTTTTACTGCTCTCTCTCTCGTCGTATGTTTTATTTATTGAATGTGTTGGGTTTCGTTTTTGAAATGATGTGCTTATCACTTTTCTTTTTCTCCAGCAGAATGCTGGCCGTTACAACATATATGACCTTTAATGATATGTAACCATTATGTGACTTCCGTTAGTTAAATGACATAAAGGCTGAATTATTATTATTTCCTTGGGTTCCGAGTGGAGCATAGGGCTTCAATAGCCCATCTCGATTTCATTCCTGTTCTCTGCAGTTCACGATTGTTCATAGGCTGTTATCTCTTCACATGATCTCCTCTATATCACCCTTAGGTGCCCAACTCGCTATTTCCTACTTGGGTTACACTTGAGTGCGTCTGGCGAGCAACACCACTCAAAGGTCTTCTCAGCATGTGCTCACTCCATCTCCACTTCCTTCTTGGTTGGTTTGTCGATAGAGCTTTTTGTTGTTAATCCTTCCCGTTCTTTCATCTGATCTTCAGTATGGAACGAAGGTAGATGTTGATAAAAGTCTGTAGCCTGTTGAAAATTAAGTATTAAGTTTATAGCAATATTCGATCTCTACATTTTAAGATTTCCATTGACAACAGTTATTTCTGTATGTGTATTTTTTTTTTCACTGATTCGTTATTCACTCGCCTGGAATGTTCTATCTCAATTAATTCTAGTTTCTAACAGTAACAGAATTTTTGCATGTATACACACATAAGACAAGTTCATTCATTCATTCATTTACATATACACAGTGTTGTTATATGCACTTTGTCCTTTCTTCACTAAACTTTTCGTTACAATAAAATAATTTTTAACCACACAATCATTTGAGAGACTACGTGATAATTTTTATGTGGATACTAAACAATTTTTTATTTTGTTTGTAGAATGAACATCCTGCTTAGTTTTTAGAGTGTTTTACGATAATAATAATAATAATAATAATAATAATAATAATAATAATTTTCACTTTACTGAACTTCAGAAGAGTGAATATATGTGCGCATAATATGCACGTATGTTTGCTTTTATGTATGTATTTATGTGTGTGAGTGAGTGAGTGTTCTAGCATTCATTTATACCTAAATACACACACACACAGAATAAGCTTTGTGATCGAGGTGACAGTAGCCAAATATTTTATTAATATATCTATGTATGTACGTATATATTTGCAGAGGTGATCTGATCATATGCCTTCCGCTTTTCTAATAAATTAAATTTTTGTTGTTCCCAATTTTTGTCGCTAAGTCGTTCACTCACTCACTTATTCTCTCTCTCTCCTGTATGTCTTCATTTATGCGTGACTTGATTTAAATAATCGCAGTGCATTTTCAACACATTCACATTGAAGAAAGTGGTAATTGTGTAAACAAACATAAAAATGCATAGAATGAATTTTTAAAAAAATGGTTACTTAATGCGCTAACTACAATTTTTTGGCATTAATAATAATATGTTGTGATTATATGAATGATATTGATGATTTCTTTATTACAACATATCAAGTTGTCATTAATTATGATTTCCATCACTTTATATTTCCGCTGTTGGTTATACAGGGGAACATGATTTAATTGAGGTTAAAAGTAATATTTATTGTGATAAAAATATGAAGTATGTTAAGAAATTCATAAACCTTACATTCGATTGTACAATTTGCAAATAATAATTATAAACAGAGTATCTTTGCCTGCCTTAATTTTCTTCTCAGTCAATCTGTTGTCACCTCGTCTTCTTGCGTTTCTACTTCATTTCACTTTTTCGCTAACACAAATTGTCATTGTTTATCCGAAGACGCTGGTCGACTTGCCTTTGTTTCTCATTCCTTGCCCACCCATAGGGGAAATTAGGCCTTCAGACTTTGAGTTTCCAATTTCCATTAACAGTGTTGGTGGTGGGGGTTCTTACCCTCATGTGCAACCTTACCTTCCCTTCTCTTCACTCATTTTCTTGTCTACCTCTGTGTGCTATTTGGAACGTGGCAACTCGAACTGCTGCACTTCGGTGCCAAGTTCTATGTTGAATCCAGCCAGCCAGCACAACCTTCCCTCATTCTGGGATTGCTAACAGCTGATAAACTAAATGAGGTTTAAGATTGCATTGGCTGGGAATTGAACCCATAACTCCCTTGTGGTGTGTGAGCATTCTACCCTTGAACCACCGATGAAGTACTCGATAAACTATTTAAATCCACATATAAGTTGTACACACTACAGGTATTGTGAAACTGTTATTATCTGAAGTTATGGTTATCTAAATTGAGGTCATGATTTTTAATTATTCTTGTATACCTTATTTTAAGAAAAGATTTTATTTTTGTTTTTTGTTTTTTTTAGAAATGCCCGGTTTAATGGCATTAAGAAAGCGTGCTAAAACTGATCAGCCTTTAAAAGGGGCTAAAGTTCTTGGCTGTACACATGTGACTGCACATACTGCTGTGAGTAGATATTTCTACCCCTATGAAGCATGAATATAATAGATATTATTTATGCTTTTAATATTCATAAGTGAATTTCCTATAAAGCTGTTATCTTTCGTGTTGTTGTGTTCTGTGAACACTGGATAGTTTAATTGTGAAACTTTTATTGCCTTCCTGCACAACATTTTTGGAGGTAACTTGACGTTGCAATTAGCGCTGAATATATTGTTCAGGAAGGGTGATAAAAGCCTCACAGTTAAACAGGTGGGAAAAAAGATGTTCATTCGCCAACGGATTTCAACAATTAGGTATATTTCAGTGATATATTCAGTCTGTAATTGGCTCTTCTAGCATTTTCTATCACAATGACGGAGTTGTGCCTAAATGCACAAAACTTTATTCTGTATGTTTCTGTTTTCCCTTTCTTATCGATAAACATTTTCTAGTAGCCACTCTCTCATAGCTCTGAATAGGGATATTTCTCACACCCCCTGGATGCTCTCTGATTTTGATTGATTTGAGGTAATCGGTAGGATTCTTTGGACTTAGGTTACGTGCTTATTGGCACCTGTCAGCCTCAAAGAAATTTATATCAAGGACCTCTTTGTCTAGTCTTTCTTACTTAACATCAACTCAGAGTTCACCGCAATGACATTTTATTTAGCTCGATGGTCAAATTGAAAACTTGACTAGTAGAATTAAGCCAGCGTCGACACTGAGGACTGAACGCATAGTATTGGTCACAGCCGGGTGACCAGCCAGTGCATGTATTTGTTTTCCGATCACAGATTTCTTGTATTTTAGAGCTGCGTTTTAACCATCCTATTCCCATAGTTAGTCGTTGTAAAGCAAACAAGGTTTGAGTAGACTGTACACCATCTCCTTTTTTAATGCATTTAAGGATATATTTCTATTACGTTGTATAACAGTGTGTATAAAATAAGACTTGTTTGCATTCTTATCTAACATCTTGATATTTGTCGTATCAGCTTTAGTTCATGTTGACTTCAACTACGTGTTTCTGGTAGCGCTGGTTTGCCTAGTTTATCTCTGATCACCGAGTATATTCACATGAGATCGCAAACACGCACAGATCAGTTCTGGTTATGTTTTCACATAGCAGTAACGTTACCTGAGTAAAACTTGTTTCAGGTTAGATCACAAACTAACTTTAGTTAGAGAACTATTGAAAACTAGAGAGTTCTAGTAGAAAGTTGTAACCAGTGGGGTTCACCAAGTTAACTGTGAGAAAACATACCCGTCGATAACATTCGCTAGCGGTCGCGCTATTTATCTCCAATTAGCCGAAGTTAGAATTCATGGGTTGTTGAATTCCGTTTCATTGGCTGAGTGGTCAGTGCGCTCCCCTTGCAACCTAATGGTCTGGTGATGAGATATTGGGTGTGGACTGATGAAGGGCCTTAAACTAGGACGAAACTTCTGTCCAGTACCTACTGTTTTCAATGGTTCCCTAACTTAAGTCAGTTCGTGATCAAACTTGAAAATAACCACATCCCCGAAATCAACACTTTAGAAGAAACCTCTTTTGTCTTTACCTTCGGATTGTATTTCCTTTGTTAAATTTACCTGTATTTTATTATCTTTATTTATTTACTTTATGTAAACATAAATTAATTAAATAGGTCCTTTTGGAAACAATGGTTTGTCTTGGTGCTCAAGTCCGATGGTGCGCTTGTAATATATATTCAACTCAAGTAAGCCAACTTTTTTCCCACTTGAAAATTAACTATAATTAATTTGTTTTTATTCAGATATTTTTGAAATAGTGTAGAATGAAAGCACACTGATTTTACTGATACACTGTCTCTTTCTTCCGCATCTGAATTATTGTCAAACAACAGAATTTTCCTTACAATAGAAGAATACTATAATAATGGGTTATTCTCGAAGCGAATGTTGACGCTTAGCTCAACTTATTATTATGCTGTTGTTCCCTTGGGTTTCGAGTGGAATATAGGGCTTCAACAGCACATCTCCACTTCGTCCTATCTTCTGCGGTCCTCTTCTACTGGCTCCATGATCACCGATACTCTCTCATTTTCTCGCGCGATCTCCATGTCACCCTCGAATGCCCCCCACTCGTCGATTTCCATTTGGATTCCACTCGAGCACTGGCCTGTCGTGTGATGTCTTTCGGCTGTCTTCGCAGCGTGTGCTCAATCCATCTCCACTTTCTCCTACATATTTATTGAGCAATAGTTTCTTGTTTGGTTTGTTCCCAGAGTTTTCTTGTTGCTAATTCTTTCTGGCCATTCGATCTTCAATACGGAGAGAAGGCTGCTGTTGATAAAAGTTTTCAACCTATTGGAAATGCTTTCTGTAAGGCGCCATGTTTCTGACCTTTATAGAAAAACTGACTGATGTACTGAACATTGATGTTGAGAATCTTGTTCTTTATGCTGAGTGCAGGAGTTTTCTAAACCGATTTCAGACTGATGAAGGTGTATCTTGCCTTTCCGATTCTGGCCAGCTTTGATATCTTCATCCGTGCCCACTGCCTATGGTTGAAACGATGCTTTCTAGATAAGTGAAGGAAGTAACCTCTTTCAAATTCCTCCCGTTGGCAGTGATTGGTACTGGTTGTTGTTGTTGGTTGGTTATCTTCATCACCTCCGTCATCTCTATATTCGTATGAAGTTCCATGTTCTCTACTTCTTCTACCAATTTGTTGGTTTCGCTTGCAAGCCTTCTAGTTTGTGTGATATTAAACGTAAATCATTTGCAAAATCCAGATCTTCCAGAGTCTTCTTATCAGTCCAGCGTATTCCTGTCTTCTCGCTCTCCTTAGTCTGATGCATAATTCAGTCCAATTCACGAAAATTAGGAATATCATCGGTGACAATAGTCAGCCTTGTCTTACTCCTGTATTTACTTCAAGTGCCTCACTGAGTTTTTTGTTGTGGGTCATCTGACACATGGCATTGTCATATAGCCAGCTGTTGATAAAGATTTTTAAATAAAGCAAGAACAACAGCGGTTTGTGCAGAATAATATGGTACCATCATTTATTTCGTCGGCTTCTCATCAGCTGCTTACAGCCTAAATAAATTGTGAGGTTTACGTACAGAAAAGTTTTTTACATACTTGCAAATTTTACATGTTGTCAGTTGACAGAAGATTCCACAATAAGTGAACAGTGCTCAGAAAATTGCGCTTATATAGTTTTTTCACAGGCAGTTCAAGTTTAAACAAAATAGATGTATGCATACAATGGTAAAAGAGTTACGTAATAAAGACGAGAGGTGAGTAAGATGATGAGTAACTAATAAATTTTGTAACGATGTACTGAGTTCAAATCACGTCATAGAAACAAGAGACAAGCAATATTACAGATTTTAAAAAATAAAAAATAAAAAAAGGAGGGGTGAGGTTAAAGACAAAGATTACGTAATCAGATTAGAGAATAAAGACATCCAGTTACCATGGCAAGGAAAGACTAATAACTGCTTCTTTCTGAACACATAAATCTGGTTTGAAGCGTTTGATAGAAATTGCTTCGGCAAACTTGAGGAGAATGGAGCTCCTTTGTCTATTGATAATTTTAAAGGATTTCTCGATTTCCACCTCATGACCCGTGTCGAGGAGATGCCTGGCGATGGCACTGTTTAAAGAATTTGTTCCCTTTAGACGTAAGCTTTTTGGTACATGTTCAGAAAATCGTAGATATGCCCTTCTTTCTGTCCTTCCAATGTAACTGCTCCCGCAGATGCATGTAAATTTGTATATGCAGTTGGAGTTCACATGAGAGGGATATCTATCGATTTTTGATTGCACCAAAGAGCAAGTTGTTTGATAGACGGGAACGAGCTTGGCTGCAGGATAGGCTATAGCTAGTGATGTACTCAGCCTTCTGTTGATCATCGCTGTAATGTTTTCACCTTTATAATCAAGCTGAAAGTAGATTGGCTTTTTTTCCACTGTGATTTGTTTTACATTTTTGACTTCAGATCTTCCATACTTGTTGATGAACCTTTGAGGGTATCCATTTCTCTTCAATGTCTTTTCAAGAAACTCAAATTCTTCCTCTAATTTCTCTATAGAGCATATTCTTCTCGCTCTATAGTACAGAGTCTTGACTAGACCACGTTTAAAGCTATTTGGACAAAAGCTATTGAAATGTAAGTATTGTCCTTTCCATGTAGGCTTTCGATAAATTGACTTTTGAAGACTACCGTCTTCTAGGCGTTCCATGGCAATGTCGAGGAAGTGAAACTTTCCGTCACTTTCATGTTCCATAGTAAACTCAATATTTCTGTGTGCATCATTGAATAATCCGAGTAAGTGTGAAGCATGACTTTCATTGTTGCACACTATAAATGTGTCATCAATCAATCATCAAATTCCTACTGTCGATATGTTGATGACACATTTATAGTGTGCAACAATGAAAGTCATGCTTCACACTTACTCGGATTATTCAATGATGCACACAGAAATATTGAGTTTACTATGGAACATGAAAGTGACGGAAAGTTTCACTTCCTCGACATTGCCATGGAACGCCTAGAAGACGGTAGTCTTCAAAAATCAATTTATCGAAAGCCTACATGGAAAGGACAATACTTACATTTCAATAGCTTTTGTCCAAATAGCTTTAAACGTGGTCTAGTCAAGACTCTGTACTATAGAGCGAGAAGAATATGCTCTATAGAGAAATTAGAGGAAGAATTTGAGTTTCTTGAAAAGACATTGAAGAGAAATGGATACCCTCAAAGGTTCATCAACAAGTATGGAAGATCTGAAGTCAAAAATGTAAAACAAATCACAGTGGAAAAAAAGCCAATCTACTTTCAGCTTGATTATAAAGGTGAAAACATTACAGCGATGATCAACAGAAGGCTGAGTACATCACTAGCTATAGCCTATCCTGCAGCCAAGCTCGTTCCCGTCTATCAAACAACTTGCTCTTTGGTGCAATCAAAAATCGATAGATATCCCTCTCATGTGAACTCCAACTGCATATACAAATTTACATGCATCTGCGGGAGCAGTTACATTGGAAGGACAGAAAGAAGGGCATATCTACGATTTTCTGAACATGTACCAAAAAGCTTACGTCTAAAGGGAACAAATTCTTTAAACAGTGCCATCGCCAGGCATCTCCTCGACACGGGTCATGAGGTGGAAATCGAGAAATCCTTTAAAATTATCAATAGACAAAGGAGCTCCATTCTCCTCAAGTTTGCCGAAGCAATTTCTATCAAACGCTTCAAACCAGATTTATGTGTTCAGAAAGAAGCAGTTATTAGTCTTTCCTTGCCATGGTAACTGGATGTCTTTATTCTCGAATCTGATTACGTAATCTTTGTCTTTAACCTCACCCCTCCTTTTTTTATTTTTTATTTTTTAAAATCTGTAATATTGCTTGTCTCTTGTTTCTATGACGTGATTTGAACTCAGTACATCGTTACAAAATTTATTAGTTACTCATCATCTTACTCACCTCTCGTCTTTATTACGTAATTCTTTTACCATTGTATGCACACATCTATTTTGTTTAAACTTGAACTGCCTGTGAAAAAACTATATAAACGCAATTTTCTGAGCACTGTTCACTTATTGTGGAATCTTCTGTCAACTGACAACATGTAAAATTTGCAAGTATGTAAAAAACTTTTCTGTACGTAAACCTCACAATTTATTTAGGCTGTAAGCAGCTGATGAGAAGCCGACGAAATAAATGATGGTACCATATTATTCTGCACAAACCGCTGTTGTTCTTGCTTTATTTAAATTCATCAAGGGGAATAAATGCATGATGTTGATAAAGAGTTGGTCATTGCACGCTATAGTGTTGCAGTAGTTTCCAAATCACTTCTCAGTCACCTCTGTCTGTCGAAGGCCTTTTCAAAGTCGATGAAATTGATGTTTCAACCTATGAACATACCATTATGAATTCAACTCACCTATAACTTCGTTCGACTTCAGTAACCTCAAATTCCATATTTCAAAACTTTGGCATCTGATAAAGTATTTAGGCGAAAGAATAATTGTGTGTATTTTTAGTTAACTCATCATATATTTGCATTTATTTGAAGTAGTGAATCAGTTGACTGATTTGTGTGGTATACAATGTAGCAGTTAGTTAGATACCATTAAATATATTCATTAAGGTAGTACTCCGTACACTGAATACTTATTTGATAGGTGACGCTGAACACTTTTTCTAAATGACATGCGTAGTAATAATATGTTTGATAAATAATGAATGTTATTCAACAACCTTCTTGTAGTTGTGTGCAGTTGTCATTGAGGGAGACCTGTTGTTTAAAGGCTAGTGATACTACCTTGCAGCAGTTGGAATGAGGTTTGAACCTGTGACTTAGTGCCCAAACCAGAAATTACGAAACAGTGATATAACAATTTATTTGAAATAAATAGCTAACACCCCCTAATATATGTTACTTGGTCAGTTGGTGGTTAACAGCAGAATCTGAGTTGTGCGTTTCGTTTTTATTTATCATTCGTCCTGGTGGAAACACCGTTACTTTCAGGGACTCAAGTACATTCAGATGACGAATACTGAATAGGAAGAAATGTGCATCCTAAATTCCACTGCTAACCACCACTCAAGGCACTGTCGAAGCTTCTGTACGAAAAGTCGTCAGAGATCGTGTATTTCAGTTCTCTTCAAAATAACTTCAACATATACTCTATTAGTATTCACTCAACCGCTAATAATAAGTAATCACCTAACCTGATTGTTTTATTACTTCACGTGATGAGAAGTTAATGTCATATCTCGTGCATAATAGTAACAATAGTAATAATTGGTTTGTTTACTGAGTTATTTTTGGCAAGTAAGAAAGACATTTTTTGTATCAAGTACTCTTACAAATCCAATAATTAAGATAAACAATAATTAAAGATACAATATGCAGGTCAAGGATTATTTGTCAGCAAACACTTATAAGTAATCAAGTAATTATATGTATCATGAAACTTATTCGCTAAACATATTTGACTGACCGGGTGTTAAGAGTCTTTTTTCTATCTGCAATGTAAAATTACTTTCTAATAACGGTGACACATTACATGACTGCTTTATCAAAATTGTAATTATACTATACAAGGTAGATGCGACCTGAAGTTCTAGTGGAAAGTTATGACCATCGGGATTCGCCAAATTGATTGTGACGACTCAAAGTCACCATTGACTGACATTGCCTGGCGATCGCACTTTATTTCGCGAATTTACAGAAGTTAGAATTGTTGCACCACCGGATTCCATTCCAGTGGCTCAATGCTATATGAGCCCGCCCTATAAACTAAGGGTCCTCTGTTGAGTTTACGGGGATGCACTGCTGAAGATTCCCAATCCATGATGAAATAGCCGTCCAGTACTCCCTAATTTTCAATAGTTCTGTAAATGAGGTTACTTCGTGATCAATGTTGTGATTGTACTAGCCCTTTGTTATTGTTTGCCATTTTAATCTATCAGGTAACCCAGTGTAACCGCAAAGTGGTATGAAATAGCGTAGTATTGTATATTACTCTTTAGCTCTGTATTGAAACTTCGTACACTGGATTGCGTCTGTTCAACATACGGTGCATACATGCAAGTGAAAAATGGTGCTCACTGTCCTCAATTATTTTGCATATCCATCAGTTTAATCAGCTACTTTAAAATATCGAGAAAATGGTTTTTAGCATGTATATTTTTTATCACAATATAAATGTGGTGTTGTTATTCAGTATACGGTAATTAGATTCAAACATATTAATATTTTTTAAGCAGTCGAACGCTATCACTATTCCTTGTACACCGGGTGTGTTGTCAGAAGTTATCGGTAATTAAATGTATCTTAACGTGAGTTAGCAATCCATTAAACCATTATCCTAGTTTGGGACTCTTCCACCATTGTGGTGAGAGTTGGCTGCTAGCCAAAGTTGTTAGACAGTAATTGACGTCAATGTTTATGTTCCCAATATTGGTGGCGAGAGAATGAGAACAAAGGCTTTACGTAGGCGGATACAGTTAACATATGGATTATCTGACACAGCCACAAAGAGATGCAAGTTTAACTTTCTGTGAGAAACAACCAATCAAAAGACTGTATTTTCTACTAATAATAATCTACAATAATGTACATTAAAATCTATAAATATGTGTTGATTTTCCTTAATAAACGATCTGTTGCCTGGCCCTTGTCTTCTGTTGTTACACCGTGACTACCGAAAATCCCACGCTGGATCGAAACCCTTAAGTTCACCATTCAGTCTTCGGGCTGCAATCCAGTAACTAATGAATTCTAACTTCTAACAATTTGATATACAGCACTACCGCCATCAATGTCATCCTCACAGTCAATATAGTGGACCCCACCGGTCACAATCTTTCATTAGAACTCCAAGAAGTCTGTCCTTTATGAGCAGCGGACTAATTCTTAAAGTGCTGGGTTGTCAGAATTCGATTGATTTCGGGGTAGATTTCATTACAAAATTATAGACTTAGACTTTATCCCGGTAACTGAATGTTCAACGTGGTCGTTTCATCGCTTGAAGATTAGGGTTTCGATCCATGGTGAAATTGCGGGTACTTACTGATAAGGAGTCTCTGAAGTAGGATGAAGCAGCTGTCCAGTGCTCCTTTATTTCTAATGGTTATGTTGGTGATGCTGGTTCGTCAATAAATCTGCTTAAAAATTAAATAAGCCCCTACAATCTCACACTTCAAAAGTTATTGACAATTTTTATCAATATAGTTCCGTTTGTAGGCAATTATTGATATATTTAAGATCATTTTTCATACCCATGACTTTTGTAAATTAGTCGCCGTTTCTTTTGAATCATTTCATGATCTTTCACAAATACAGATCGACAACTCAAAGTCTGTCTTCTGTCTATCGTCATAGGTTATCATTCTCACTTACTCGATGAGTAAACATGTACTGTTAATGTCAGTTGTATATTTTCACTGAGCACTCATTAGTTCCTAGTGTACTTTCGAGTGAAATTCTCAAAGATAATACAACAATCCCATCCTTCCATTAGTTGAGAGCAATATTAGTACATGTTGTTTTCATTTTATAAAGGTAAAAATACGTGTATTGGGTAATTTTGAATGATGAAAAACAGAGCGTTTGTAGCAACATTGTATTCTGAATTTAGTCGTTAAGACAGTGCCTCCTGTATTTGATATGATATTGAATTGATGATGAGACTCTCGGAGGTAGTTATGGGTTGACAAATTGTAATTGATATAATCGTTGGGGATTGAAGACAAAATGAAAGTTTTTGGTCACGGCCGGATTCAAATTTTGATGATAACCTGGTTAGCAGTTGTAGATCTTGTAGGTCAGCTGGTAGACTGCCAGAATGTTAAATTGGAAGCTGTTGGTTCGAATGTTTCCGCTATCCAGATTTTCATTTCATCTTCAATCATTACCCACTGCATCAGTAACAGTGTGTCAAACCAAGACTATCTCATATTCGCTCGCCATCAGTTAACAAACTGCTCCTCTTTTTCTAATCCACTATAATTGCAATTAACAGAAAATAATCCAACCAGGCAGCGTGTGTAGTGGTAAGCGGATGGTAATGAGTAATTGATTCTCATAACAGCTGGGCATTATCCATGATGATTATAGTGAAATGATAACCTGTTTATCATATGGGGCTTGCAGGTCAGATGGTAGATCGCCACAATACTTAATTTGGAGGTCTCTGGTATGAGTACTTCCATTTTTTGTGATTTTTATTTCAACCTCAATCACCACCCGTTACGTCAAATATTAGATTTTATAGTTATCATTTAGTGGAAATACTATCTAGGCGTCTTCTTATTTGTTTTCTGTTTTCCTACCAAATATAATTTGCTTGTTCAGAATGAAGTTGCTGCAGCCTTGGCGGAAGCTGGTTTCCCTATATACGCATGGAAAGGTGAAACTGAAGAGGATTTCTGGTGGTGCATTGATCGGTGTATATCTGCTGAAGGTTGGACTCCCAATGTGGTACGTTATTTAATTTTGAGTATTTTATTCTCCTTGTCATACTACTGAATTGGGCTTTATCTGATTTTAGTAATCTGTTCAATTATCTACCATTGTTGTTGTCACAAATTGACTGACAATTCTATTTATTTTAGGTTGCTTTCGTTATTGATCCCTGGGGAGTAACTAGTGGCATGTGTCTAGACCTAAGTGTTAGTTAGTGTTGAGTTCTGTCAGTGGAATTTACAATGTAATCGCGAATCCAGGAGATTTGCCGTCCTGATTCACATTTTGAATTATTGTTAGGTGATTGGTGGCCCTGGATCTAGGTTTTATGTCTGTTGACACTCATCCCCAAAGGGTATCAGCAGTCTTGAAAGGGAGTGATATCCCCACTGAGATTTAAACTGGCGTCACACGGTGCTGCAATCGAATAAATTACCACTGTGTTATACAAGTCCATAACTGACTTCCCGTAGATTTATAATGGTTGTATATTTGGTCATTGGGGGGGGGGTGGGTGGTTAACTAGTGTCATGTGTCTACTGCTTAGTTTTTTTTTAAGTTGATTGACGTTTACTATACAAGTATTATATGCTACAGAGTTCTTAATTTCAAATGAATACTTTTTAACTCACAAAATGTAAATTCCTAATCCGATGTTCAAGACAGATTGGAGACATTTGATTTGAAATTTTCTCTGCTTTGCCTATATATATATATATATATATATGTATTACTGTTCATTGAACTAAACTGTTTATGCAGTTTAATGCAAATTAGAAAAAAACTAAGTCCAGTTAGTGCGGATAAAATTCTTTCCAAAAGTAGATGTTTTATTTTGAAATATATAGTTCTTGTTAATTTTTTTCAAGTGTTGGTTCGCAGGGGTTTGATTGATTTCAAGACTGAAAACGAACTGACCTGAGAAAGAGAACCATTGAACAGAAGGAAGTACTGGACATCCGTGTTTTCCGTGTTTGGTGGAGTCATGTTGCGTACTGCTGAATAGCCCCAATTAAGGTTGAAAGTGCTGCCTAGTGCTCTCTTGTTTTCACTGGTTCACTAACTGAAGTCGGTCCGTGATCAGTCGAGTAGTCTTGTTGAGCTCCACTGTAACGAGCATAGTTATGTCTGATAATTAGTTAGTTGATTAGAACTCAATTACCCGGTACCGGTGTATCAACTAATACTCATTATACGAGGGCTAGCATCCCTACCCAGTTGCTCAGGTTGTACCAGGTTTTGTGTTTTAAATAATAAATAAAATGCCCAAATGGTGGTCTACAGGAAGGTGAGATACAGGTTCAGTTTTGAGTGTTCTAACTAATAACCTTCATCTCTATTTAATACATACGGAAGAAGATATCACATAACATATCCACTTAGTAGAACTCTTAACATCATTTTAATTTCATCTCAAATTATGGTAGATTATATTTTACTTACTTAGGAAAGCGAATTTAACTGTTTACCTGTTTTGAAGATTAATACTCTGCTGCTTGGTTTCTTAACTTAATTGACAGTTGTCTATGATACTTTCTTTGCATCCTGTTGATTTCTTTATTTTCTGTTCTATCTTCGTTATTTCCCTAATTTTCGACCATTTATGACCACCGCTTGATATTCGAAGAGAATATTTCATTGGGCAACCTTGAAATATGGTTTAACTGTCATTACTTAAACTCTCATTTGCTCAATTTTGCCTAGAGGTAGTTGTGTTTATCAGTGTGTTTTCGTTCGCAACACCTTAAAGTTACCTCACTTATATGACTGACCAAGCGATTTAGTTTCAAGCCAACACACTGCGAATACACATACAAAGGTAGAGAAAAAAAGAGATTCAAAACAAATATAATGAGTAGAAGTGTGTAGGAGAAAGAATAGTAACATTGAAAAACAAGAAAGCTTAATAGATACGATGAATCACGAAGGGTGAATACACATGTGCTCTTGTCAACGATTTTGAACGGTGCCACGAACTCTTCAGCAATTCATTCAGTTGTCCCCTGGGCTTTGCGGTCACGCAACCAACTTCCACGGTGTGGGCAGCCGGGAAGTAACAATCGCCCCCACAATCCGAAACGCACGCGAAACCTCTTTAATCGTCACTCATCTAATGTTTCGAGGACGTTAGCCAGACAATCTGCGCTTCCCTACATAGTCGAAAAGAATAGTCAATAACTTCATGGATAAATGATATGTCATGTTTTCGTTTGACCACCTCTACCTTAACTCTTTTTCAAATCAGGCCCTATATCAGCTAACGTTACTCGCCAAAGGGGGCGACAGATCGTTATGTATAACACATATATCTCAGCCGTCTCAATCATTGACGATTAAGAATCTCATTAACTGACTTACCTGATTGCATCCTTTATTCACAGAGCAAACCATCACCTCGCTGAGTACTACTATCACTTTAACATACTGTTTATTCGTTTTGTTAAACTTTCTAAATATCCAGGTTTGATTACATCTTTCGTTTTTCTCTTCAACATTCATCAGGTTTTAGATGATGGTGGTGATTTGACTCATCGTCTACACAAAGATCATAAAGAATTACTACCTGGAATATGTGGTATTGTTGAAGAAAGTGTAACTGGGGTTCATCGGCTTTATCAATATGTTAAATCTGGTACACTGGGTGTTCCAGCAATGAATGTTAGTGATAGTATAACAAAATCGAAATTTGATAATTTCTATCTGTGCAAGGAATCTATTGTTGACGCGTAAGTATTTTAAAAATGTTGCTAATCATGTTGTTTCAACTTTAGCTAATATCTGTAAAACGACGGAAAAATATGTTTCCATATAGATTTCTTTACGAACTGGCATCGTTTGGAGGGTCATCGAAAACCAGCGAGTACTGGACAACTATTTCTTCCTAGTTTGGGACTGTTTTCCAGTTTGCATGCATAACTCCACCGGGGATAGAGGCCAAGACTGTGTTACGAAGCGAACCCGTTGACCACTCAACCACTGGGATGGAATTCAAAACCTCATAAACTCTAACTTTTGCCAATTCACAATAAATGACACTGAGGGTCCCGAACTTTGACGAAACTGTTGTCCAGTACTCTCTGTTTCTCAATGGTTCTCTGACTGATGTCAGTTTGGGATCTAACGTAAAATCAGTCAGTCAAGTCTATGCAACCAAACATTGGAAGATATTTCATGTTATCAAATCGAATCTCTTCTGTTCTACAATTTTAATTAATACATTTCATGTAGTGTATTTCTCATTTTCACTTATATTTTCTATTTTAATTTGGTTAGCTTGAAATATAAATCATGTCACAGATAGTGAATAACTTTACATCTAATTCTATTGAAGCATAAAATCTAGAAGATAGTTGAAAGATTATTTTGCTAATTAGCGGTTTTTTTCTTATTGTCCGTCGACATCCAAAATGTTATTGAATGTCTTGGAAGTATGTTGCTATTTCATTGATTTTCATCATAGATTTACTTACTTACCAACCTAGTCATTCTTAGTATTCATAGCAAATGTTGTATTACTAGACACTGTTTTAAAGTAATCTTCTCTGTAATGATTAAGTGTAGTTTATGCTATGTTACCTAGCTGTTTAGACCGTGAATTTGACTGATGAAATTCAGTTGGCATCAACAGTAAGGACTATACACACTTGACACTGGTTATTCCTTAGTGTTCAATCAGTATAAGCATTACAGCCCTATGAGATATCAGTAGTAGCGTCTTTGGCTGTAGGACTGAGTGACGAGTGTTGAAGTCTCAGAAGGACATCAGTCCCTCAAAGGTTGCAGATATGCCTTACTGACATGTGCCGTGTTACCTCGGCACAGATCTCTCTGTCGACTGTCTCCAACCGTTTCACATTCAAGAAATGCACTGTGATTGGCAGTCTCTAAGCTTGGTATCCATGTTTCCAACCTGACTGATAGACTTCTGTCAGCAGTGAAACCGACTACCTGACGCATAATGTCGATTACCCTTCAGTGAGCCATCAGTATAGAATTCATCTCCACCCGCTGCAATTAAGAGGACGTATAGAATAACCGCATCATGAATTTCAGTTAGGAGTTATTGTTGCTTTTTTTTATCGAAGTATAACTTATAGAATTCATCAATGCTTTAAAACTCAACGAATGACGCCTGCTGAGATGAAATATAACTACAGCAAAGCCCATCCATACTTGCACTATACATTATGAGTTGTGACTGAAACATATAATCATCTTTGTGGTTAAAAAGAAAGAGTAAAGGTATCAACGTTTCTTTTATTATTTTTTTTAAAGTAAAAATTTATTTAATCGATTTGATGGATTTCTATTTCTCTCTTCTAGTTTGAAACGAACTACAGACATGATGATCAGTGGAAAAACTGTGTTAGTCTGTGGTTATGGTGAAGTTGGAAAAGGTGTTTGTCAAGCCTTGAGAGGATTAGGCGCATTTGTTTGCATTTCTGAAATTGATCCAATTTGTGCTCTTCAAGCTTGGTAGGTTATTTACAACATCTTGTCTAATTTTTTATCCTTCTGTGCCTTTTCTTTCATCGTTTTTTTAGTTTTAGTCTACATTATGTTAATAAAACTAGTTTCTGGTGTTCTTGTATTGTTGGATTTGGATGGTTTAATTGTGAAGCTTTCATTGTCCTTCTGGACAACATTTTAAACGCCAACTTTTTAATGTTAAGTGAGATTCGTGAATTCCGTAAGGATGAAATATTTGTTTCTCCTGGTGATTGTTTGCTGGGATTGATTGTTCCCGTAAATTTCCTTATATTTGTACCCACTTGTATTGATGTTGATCCTGTTGTTGACCTGATAGTCGATGTTTTGATCGTGTGTCAATTATAAGGAAGTCTATGGGAATGGTCATTCAAAGGGAAGGTCCCTATGGGAGACATATATGACGTTCATAATGACTTTCTAAAGCTCACTACTTCACACTGATGTTTGCTCTGAATGTATGTTGTCCAGAAAAAAAAGGGAATCTTCGGAAATAAACCATCCGTCTTAAAGAACAGATCAACACCTGTAAAATCCACGTGGGCTACACATCTCCACTAGTAAGATTGCCTTGTACCGCCGTTACTTCTAATGTAAACTTTTCATTTTGATATCTATGCAGAACTGCTTGTACCTTAAAAAAATATATATATATATAATGTATAAGAGACATGGATACAAGTGTATTGAATTTAAAAAGATAAGTTTCAAGTGAGTTGAGATCCTGTCACTGTTGTGCATATCACTTTGCCACTTGTTAGGTCTAAAAGAGCTGTTAGATAACTATTTGTGTACATCGTGTTGTCTTTCAGTGTTAATTCTTCCTAGTGTGATAAAAGGTGCCTACGTAATTTGGATAGTTTAACTATACTGCACTGGAGGCATGGTTCCTCTGTCCAGGTGTTAAACTTTCAAATGAATTCTGCTTACTGAGATTTCATCAGCCGGATAGTGTCGTCAGCTGTCACAATATCGGTGTTCCTCATTACCGAATATGTGAACGTGTACTTGTTGGTTAAGTGAGACCTGTCTTTGAAGTCATATGGATTTATTGTTTAGGAGAAGTAGAATAATAGACAGGGATCACTTGTTTAAATGACATTTCAATATACTTCCATGAATGGTGTTGTTTTGCACTGTTTCACACGTGTAGTCACATGTTTGAGTCGCATAATAAATGTGACTTACTGTGAAATTAATAAGGAAGTACTTTATTAAATATGTCTATTCTGCTTGCTGCCTCACATTTTGTTTATTTTTCCTCTCCTATAAACAAATGAACTAAAGTATGGATGGTTTTCGTGTTGTCAAAGTTGACGAAGTTATTCGATCTGTTGACATTGTGGCTACATGTACAGGGAATAAAGGTGTTATTACTAGAGCACTTATGGATCAGATGAAAAGTGGTTGTGTTGTCTGTAATATGGGTCATTCTAATACTGAAATTGATGTTGTAAGTGTTGTTCATTGTTATTATTATTATTATTATTACTATGGCTTTATTTTTATAGTTTCTTTTTTTCCATTCCTATGTGCTCCTAGTGGAACATACTGTTTCAAGCATTGAGGTTTCATTAGCAGTGGTGTTTTATTTTTACGAAATGGGTTTGCTAGCTATACACTCAACCGCCTTCCCCTTCATTCCCGGCTTTCTGCTATCTAGTAAATTAAGTGTGGTTTAGGGGATATCGTCGGGTGGCGATCGCATCCAGAAATCTTGTCTGACTGGCAAATATTGTACAATCGAACGAACGATTCACACCGTTTGTAATAAAAATAATGAATTTTGTTTCAATAATTGAGTTTATTTTTTGAACGTGTATTAATATATCTACATATGCATTGTTAAGCTTAACCCAATGATTCGATTTTCAGACAGGCTTGAGTCTCACTCAACCTACTCATCCTAGGCATCAGGGTATATTATCAGCCCTCATACAATAAGTATCGGATAGCTAAATTCTACTGCTAAATTGATTGTTAAATAATTCGTATAAGATCTATGCACTATATATTGTTTCTGCAAAAACTTTTGATTTACTTTGACTGGTTGATCGATATGGGAAACCGCTCACACCGAACAGTAGTGCATCTTAGTCAGTTTAAGGTGTCCTAAACACCGGGCATTTGTCTCGCACGTTTGGGGCTGAGCTATTCAATGGTGTACCTGATTTACCTAAGCTTGAGAGCCGAATCGGTTCAAACCATCCCGGATTTTGGGCTAGCTACTTGGGTTAAGATTCATTGAGGGTTTAAGATAATACCTGGAATCCCAGTCGGAATTGGTTTTGTATCCAGCTAAGACTGTTTGTATGTTGTGTGTCTAATAATCAAAATGCCATGTAGACATCCAGAGCTTTAGTGAACGCTAGTGGTTTTAAAACATCTTCAGTATTTCTACATTTTCATCCGCATTTCAACTACTGAAATACTTAGTTTAGGAGTTTTTTTCTAAAAATCTTTCAAAAACCGATTAGAGTACTGCGGTACAATACTTGTGATCGATCACTACGACTTGTGAGCCAAGTATACTGTTTGAGTATAAAATTAAAAAGCTTATTATAACTAACTGGTCTTGTAATAACAGCTCACTAAGCTTCTGGTTTCTTTGAAGAGTCACATAGAGAACAGTTTAGCTTTCCTGAAAGGCTGTAAGGAAGGTGAATTTCATATTTGGATACATCAAGTGATACCGTCAAAAATCGGTAGCAACTGACGCCATATTTTTTTCAATGTAAACCTTAAGTGGTTTACTTTTACATTCTTTTTCCGTCTCATTTAATTGTTTTCTTTCGGCTGTTTGTTTGAGGTCTGTAACGGGAAACAGATTTTTATGTACCAGATTTTGAACACCTAACTTATTATGTGAAAGGGAAGCGACGAGTTGGTCGTCCAAGGGTGACCTGGAGGAGATCATGTGAAGAGGAGATGAAAGCATGTGGGCAGACCTGGAGCCAGGTGAAAACTCTAGCAGAGAACCGAACGCAATAAAGACGCATGGCTGAAGCCCTATGTTCCTCTAGGAACTAAAGGAAATAATAATAATAATAACTTATTATGTCAGGCCTTTTCGTACTACTCAGTCAGTTTCCCAGATTGCAGTAGGTGGGTTGGGACTCGTATATAAAAGTGACTGGCTAAAAGTCGAGTGCTTAAGCCCGTTGAGCCACATCTCCATATTTCTTTCCAGCGATCTCTCAGTTTCCTCTACCTATATGTTGAAATGATCCGTGCACAGTAAAAAGCTCACGATAATACATACTTTGACACATTGATTTATGTGGTGAAGCAAATAGAAATAGTAACTGAAGTATGCTGTTATCCGATGAACTGGTGGAATCGAATGTTTGCTTTTTTTTCAGAACCAGGAAGCTTATTCTAAATTTATTGATAGTATCGATCGAATTTGTTTAAGTGATTTGTACTTACTCTCAGATAAATAGAACATAATAAAAGATTTTGTAGCTATAATAATAATAACGAAAATGTGTATAGACAATATTGATTCAATGTTTGTGTACAGTATGTTTGTGTGTGTGTGTGTGTGTGTATACGTCATTCCAGTCGTCAAAAAATAAGCTGTCTCAGATATATCTCTGACTTTCTCTTATTATCTCTACGTGTGTAGATGTTTATTATCGTTATTGTATTGCTTACTGTTCTGGTTATACATCCTGACAATGTCAGTTATTATTATTATTATTTTTGTACAAACTCATCGATTGACTTCCCTCCCACCCCCTTTCTGTCTACCAGTCTTTCCAATAGTGAAAAGTCGAAAATAGTTTTATCATTTTTTTTACTCAACTGTCGGTTAGGTTTTCAACTCCACATGATATTTCATGATTACTTTTTTCTTTCTTGTGAAATATGGCGTATACATGCTGATGGTTACTAAAATGAAAAATAACCGCATGTGATTATAGGCTGTGGTGGTGGTGGTGGTGGGGCGTTACGTGGATGTTTCTTTTTTAAGGATTATTACCTATTAGACAATATTTTGTCAGTCTACAGTTAGTTGTCATCATTAGACAATCACACAACAAAAAAAACCAGTCAAAAACTGAATTCTCTCATTTTTGCTTTGTCTTTCTTTCTTAACTATCTGTGCTAATATTATCACAGTTTTTGAGAAACTGCTACACAGGTGAGTGTTAGTGTCAATTTAAGCACTAAAAGGTGTGGAGTTATGGTTCTCTGGTCTTGGAGGTCGATTTTTCATAACTCAGTTACCCTGGGACAAATTTCTTCTGCACCAGGCTGTGAGCCACACATATTTTGTAAGGGGAGGTTGTACTGCTCATTTGCTCAGGCTAATGAGCAGCTAGATCGGAATTCGAACCCGTCGACTGAAAGTTGAGTGCTTCACTAAACACAATGGATTACCAACCATTATTGGGACAAGCATTCACACACGACTCCACTTACCGACGTTTAGGCAGTCAGGTCCTCTCACAATATGGCTTCTGGCCAAATGCATGAAAATACAAGTGGTCGTTGAGTAGTAAAAGATGGAGAGATTAGGGAAAATTTATTCACATTCATATATGCTGTTTGATCATGGGGTGGCAATCAATATAGAGATGCTAATTAACTTCTCATTTCTTTTCTTTTAGTGTTGAATGTTGTGACTGACACCAGATTTTGCACAGAGATTTTATATTACACATTAGAAGTTATTTAGTAGCAATCCATACTCACAGTTTAAAATTTGTCTTAAAACTCTTAAGATTGTGGTGGTTTCGTTTATTTTCGTGATGTACCCCTTCCATGCTTGATTTGGTTTTCCCCTATCACAAAATTTTAAATAATCTCGAAAAAAACTCAATTCGTCCATAAACTTTAAATAAATGTTCTGTTTGATTTATTTTATTTCTTCTCAAATTTCTTTTTCCACTGTTTATTACTATAGCGATCCCTACAAACTCCTGATTTAACCTGGGAACGTGTTCGATCACAAGTGGATCATGTTATTTGGAACGATGGAAAGCGTATAATTCTTATAGCTGAAGTAAGATCATGCTATTTCGTTTCTTTTTTCTACACTGTTATATGTATTTTTATACTCTCATTAACCTTGTTTTTATTTTCCCTATATCTGAACAGTAATCTTTCTTAGAAAATTCTCGTGATTGTAAATTAATCTCTATAGTATCTACTCGTTGGTTTTTATAGCAGTATAGACTGTATCGTATGACGCTGATTAGTGCTAGATGTCTCCTAAGCTGCGGTAATTACTTTTCAGTGTGTTTTATAAACAATAGCTACTCAGGAACTCTTGTGATTTCGCTTACTATAATTCAAGATTACCGCGGGTGAATAAATGCATAGTCAGCCAGTTAATCCAATCAACATACTCTCTAAATATAAACCTGATCAAATCATTGCTATAAGCTTATCATGCTTTGCATTATATAATTGCGTGTTTTAAAATGGTGTAGTGGAAAACTCCCATCAGGATATCAGATATAAAAAAAAATAAGAAGTTCAGCAAAGATATCTTTTCGGCGATTTCATTCTCAGAAGCTGTACAGTTGCATTCATATACATAGGTTTACATTGGTACAATTATTATTTAATTCCACATGGTAACGAAGCTGATTAAAAGTGATAATAATTTTCAACTTGATATGAAAGTTCAAGGTTGTGATTATTGATTGCAAGAGCATTCGAGACAAAATAACAGGATCAGAACATAGGAGTGAATAGAATGAGCGTGAAAATAAATTGAAATAATAGTGTTTTATAACTGAAAATGAAAAAAGGAAAGAAAAAAATGAAGGGCATAAAAAAACGTGACCTAGGAAAACAAATCAAACTAGATCCATGGTAAATTTATAGGTTGAATTAGTTTCTTCTGAACACACAGCTCCAGTTTTTCGATGCATTTGGGAAAGGCTTCTGTAGTGCAAAGAAGTCGGAAACACACTTCCTTTGGTAGATTTTTGTTTACCATTTAAATGATTCTGGATGATGGGTAAGTTGAGATGCTGTGACAGGTGTTGATTAAGTGTTCAATTATGGTGCTTCCGATTGAACCAATATCTCCTCTTTGCAGTCATGCTGGGTGATGTTTTCTAACACGTTTTGATAGAACCTTCATAGAACGACCTATGTACCTAGCTTCACACGAGCAGGTGAACTGATTTGTGCACATTGAAGTGGTCATATGTGGAAGTTTGAACTTCACATTGCTTTGAAGCAGTGGGCAGATGGATAATACCATTCTTAGAGTTGCTGCAGGAAAGATCTTCTTTAGGGAACTGGAGATTCTCCTCTCAAGGATATCTCCCCTAGAGTTCAGATTCAAATATAATGTTTTCTTTGGCTCCGAAGTGCGTTCTTCCCTTTTCGACTTTGGTTTCATGTTCTTCCTCCACGAAGCGTGCTGAGTATCCATTTTGGGGCAAGATATTTCTGAAAAATAGAAACTCTTCTTCTAAGCAGCCACTGCTGCAAATTCTTTTGATACGGTGGATCAGCAAGATGATGAGAGTTGTTTTTCGACTGATAGGTATCCAGCTGTAGCAGTTTGTCAGTTGGTAGTTCCATAATGTTTTTCTGCGGATAGATCTTTCCAGAGTTCCATCATCTCTTCTTGTCAATTCGACGTCCAGAAATAGAATCTTTGATTCATTTTCAACATCTATTGTGAATTTAATTGAAGAATGTCAATTGTTAAACTCCTGTTGGGTTAATTTAAATCAGAATCATCATGACAAACTGTAAAAATTTCATCAACGTACCTTTTGTACAGCAGCAATTTGTCCATTGTTGATTTTAAGATACCGTTTTTAAAGCTGGCGATAAAGCAGTCTACCAAAAGTGGGTCAAAGAGAGTGCCAATGGCAATCCTATCCTTCTGTCTATAGGTGTCGTCGTTGAACCTAAGTTGTACATTAAATGTGCATCTCAGTAACAACTCTTTCAGGTATGAGGTTGGTATTCTGATGCTCAGATTCCTATCCTCCATAAAGGAAACAAATTGTTCCTGTGAGTGGTACATGAGTAAATAGAGATTCTACATCCAGTGATAACGTACTCTTACCTTTTACATTCAAATCTTTTATGCATTCAAAAAATCCACAAGTATCTCGTAGAGAGTACTCACATAGTTGTTGTCTCAGGCTGTAGCATTTTCGACAACCATTTAACAATCGAATGGGAATGGTCATCCCAACATGTTTAAAATTGGTCGAAGTGGCAGACGTGCTTTCTGCACTTTTGGTAGACCGTAGAGTCGGAGGACAATTGATCCTCTTGGTCTCAGACGTCCAAATAGGTCTTCAGTTATGAGACAGTCATTGTTCATTTTTCTGAAAACATCTGTCATTTGCTGTTCCATTAGCTCTATCTTAATTTTCTCGTTGTTCGGCCTTGAAAATTCGCTAAGATGTTGGTAGAGGAAGCACTGAGGACAGAACTTTAAGTGTAAATAGAGTAGACAGAAATGTAGTACCCAACTAACAGCAAGCACAAATCACCATCAACAGGAATTATTTGAAGGTTGTCGCTTGTTTCACTTATTTGTGCAGCATGGTTTCAACTACATCGACACGGATGCAGATGTCAAAGTAAGGATCGAAGAGGCAAGATAAACTTCTATTAACCTGAAATCCGTGTGGAAATCTGCTGCCTCTAGTCAGTTCTTTTATATGGTTCAGAGACGGCGTTTCAGCTAAAGCATTTTTGATGCGCTTCAGACTTTCATAAACACCTACCTTTGCTCCATACTGGAGATCAAATATCAGAACGGATTAGTAACAAAGAACTCTATCGGCGAACCAACCAAAACGCTATCGCCCAACAAATATTCTGAGGGGAACGGAGGTGGATTGGAAATACCCTGGAAAGACCGTTGTATGACATCACTCGAGTGGAATTCTAATGGGAAACGGCGAGTTGGGCGTCCGAAGATAACATGAAGGAGATGAGAGCCTACGGGGAATCATAAAGCCAGCTTAGTATGACTGCAGAGAACAGGATGAACTGGGGGGGTGTGCTTTTGAAGTTCTATGTTCCACTCGAAAACCAAGGCAGTAGTGATACTAAAAGTTCTGATTTCTCCTTGATTTTTGTGTATTGTTTGGAATCTATTTCTCACCGTGGTTACACAAAATTCTGCTATTTTACATCCACAATTTCATCATGGATTCACTGCCTGTCTTCTTTTCAGTGTTAATTATTGTTTATTATTCTTACTCAATATATTATAACTTCGCCCGCACTCTGAGATCATTCTCTGGAAGTGATACAAATATTGATGAATTTGTAGGATAGCAGTCTCCACCAGGAACCTTCGGAATGACACTGAGAGAAGTATTCACATCACCGATCTTAAATGATATGTTTTATTTGCTTTCATCATATGAAATCATTTATATTATTCCCTTCGATCCTCGGTTAAACAAAGAGCTTCAGTTGAACATCTCCATTTCACACTGTTCTCTGCAGTCCTTTTTTGCTGGCTCCACTATTGTCCAAAAGCTTTAATTTCTTCCTCACATGATCTCATTCATGTCACCATCGAGCGCTTGTATAGTTTACTGTTAGTGTGTTTGCATAATTTGAGATTTTGGTTTCAGGTTAAGGATTAAGTTATACCGTTAAGCAGTTCATACATTTATATATACAAGTTATTAATAAATTTATAGATTTTCACGTTACTGCATTTTCAATGATTGTTCAAGGTCTTTTGGTGGCTACTATGCTGTACCTTCCTAATATTCATTCATTTTATCAAGTTTTATAAGTGAATCCACTTTACTAACTGGTATTTTGCTTGGAAATTCCTGTTGAAACTTCTTTCATGTGTTTTATCGTTCTTAATTTACTCGCAATTTTAGCGAGACTGCCAGTCAATATCATCGATGTTCTCGCACCTTACCTAGTGTACGCCACTGACCACGACTTCTCAGTCGAACTCCTGGCAGCTTCGTCCTGTAGTCAGTCACTAGTGAATATCAGATTAATTTTTAAGAGTTAGTTTATAGAGATTTTAGTTGTTTCGAGTTATTTAATCACGGGCTGATATTAGTTGTAGAGCCAATGAAAAGTAAAGTGGCATTAGATAGTTATTTCATCAATCAATTTCTCATTTTTAAATTATAATTATCCTCTTTTATTTTCAGGGACGTTTGGCAAATCTAAGCTGCTCAACTGTTCCTTCGATTGTTGTCTCTGTTAGCGCCAGTACTCAAGTTAGTTTTATTTCGTTTTCAACTATTCCAAGAGTCTTTTTTTGTTTACGATATGCAGTTCATTGTGTTGTGTACAATCCGTTATCGAATTATGCGCATTACTCTTATTATTGTTGATTCTATGTACAGATTTCGTGCAACGGATTAATTCTGTTTATGAAGCTATTTTATAATGAAATAATAAGTTTTTCAATTATTTATGCTCCCTCCAATAATTGTTGTTGCTTTGCGAAAATTGCTTTGTAGATAACTTGATTGTTTCCAACGTAAACTTCATTATAAATCTATATCAGTTAGCTAAATATAGCAAACAAAGCATAACGGAACGCCTGTTACGTCCTAATATATGACTCTTCAGCAGTACACTGGCGATTGTCGTGTTTATTACGATTTTTCAAAAGTTAAGATTCATAGGATCTTAGATCCAGACAGATATACGGGCTAAATAATAACCTGCTCACCTCATGACTTGAATATCATGAATGCTTACTGCTGAAATGTCCCGAACTAGGACGAAATAGCTGTTCAATACTCGCTGGTATTCAAATATTCTTCCAACTGTATGTTGGTTTGTGATGACATTTATCTTGGGATTATTGTTGCTATTTTTATTCGTTTATGCAATTGCGTTTGGTTATTAGCAAGAAATAATTCAGAAGCGGATAAACTGTTTGCTTGTAAATTGTTTATTTAGATATTCACATTACAGAAGTGTTTGATTATTAGCACACTCCTCAGTTAGGTTGCCGCCTCAGGTAACTACAGCACTAATAGAATTGGTTTACATCAGCTAGGCAAACTACCGATGGCTTCTGTTAAAGTGGTAAACGTGAGCCACTCTGAATCATTAGAATAGGATTTCATACAATTGTTTTTTGAACCTGTTTCACTTGAATCATAACTAACAAGATTCATTTCTTTTGATATATAGTATTAATTTTAAAACTAACATAATCACCATGGTAACATTTTCCAAACGTATCAGATTTAGTCTTAACTCATTACATTTTCAACTTGATATCCGCACATTTATCGAATTCACATGCATAACGCTATATCCCATCTTTTGTATTTACCGTGTATTTTACTCTAATTCTTATCTAATTACTGAATAGGTTGCTTCTTATGTGTGATTTCTTCCACTATTCATTATTTTCACTAATGAACTATATTTCATTTCGTTACTTATTATTATTGTTCCCTTGGGTTCCTAGTGGAACATAGGGCTTCAACTGCACGTGTCCACTTGTTTCTGTCTTCTGCTGTACTTTTCACTTGCATCCATGTTAGTCCATACTGTTTCAATTCCTCTTCACACGATCTCCTCCATGTCACCCTTGGACGTCCCACTCGCCACTTCCCTTTCGGGTTCCACTCGAGCAATGGCCTGACGCGCGATGTCAACCAGCGGCCTCCTCAGCGAGTTTCCAATCCATCTCCACTTTCTCCTGCGATTGGTTCTTGTTTTGTTTGTTCCCATAGTTTCTTGTTTGTGATTCTTTCCGGCTATCTGATCTTCAGTATAGAATGAAGACAGCTGTTGATAAAGGTTTGCAACCTGTTGGAAATATTCTTGGTGACCCGCCGCCAAGTTTCTGATCCGTATAACAAAACTGACTTGACGTTTGTATTGAAAATCCGAATTTTGTTGTTGATGCTGAGTGACAGCGGAAGATTTCCAGATTGGTTTCAGGTTGATGAATGTGTTTCTCGCCTTCCCGATTCTCGATTTGACATTCTCGTCCGTTCCTCGTGTAGTTGAGACAATGCTCCCTAGACAAGTGAATGAAGTAACCTCTTTCAAATCCCTCCCGTTGATGGTGATTGGCGCTGGATGTTGCTGCTGTTGTTGTTGGTTGGTTGGTTATTTTCATAACCTCCGTCTTGTCTATGTTCACCTGGAGTCCTGTCTTCACCTGCTGCTTCTTCGACCAGTTTGTCGGTTTTCGCTTGTAAGTCTTCGATTTTGTGTGACATCAAACACAAATCATCCGCGAAATCCAGGTCTTCTAGGTTCTTCACGTTGGTCTAGGATATCCCTATCTTCTCGTTTCCCACTGTCTGACGCATAATCCAGTCCACCACAATTAAGAATATCATTGGTGATAATAAGCACCCTTGTCTGACTCCTGTGTTTACTCCAAACGCCTCGCTGAGTTTTCCGTTGTGGATCACTTGACATGTGCTGTTGTCTTACAGCTGTTGAATAAGGTTGATGAATATTTCGGGTACGCCATAGTACTCGAGTAGTTTCCAAATTACTTCGCGGTCCACGCTGTCGAAGGCCTTCTCAAAGTCTATAAAGTTGAGGTAGAGGTTTGATTGCCATTCTATGCTTTGTTCGATGATGATGCGTAGAGTTGCAATTTGGTCAGAACATGATTTGACTTTCCTGCATTTGGAATAAATTATTTCGCCAATATTAACTGTAATATTTTGTTATTCGTCACACAACTAAGTACTGAATATTTGTGCATTTGCATTCTGAAAAATGTACCTGTTTGTCTGAATCAATTACTACAACCTATCTTTTGTGACCATTGATTTACCATGTTAGTTTAATTAAATGGTTGTTTCATGATTGTTTCTGACGTTATTCTTATTGTGAAATTAGTAATTGAGTTGTTTTCTGCACACAGTTACACGAAGCTAATTTTTCATGTAGCATTCTGAGAATTGCACATATTTTGTGAGGACGGATGATAGTGTTCAGTTGTCCAGGTTGAAATAGGTGATGTTAATATTCAAACTCCTTGACCCATTTGATGAAAGTTGAGTTAACCGGCCATTGAAATATGGCTCCGTCACTTGAGCCGTCAACTTTCACCCAATGGGTGGCAGATCTCAATTTCGCCCCACCCAATTTAGTCCCCACAACTGCGTAGTATTATCAGCCTCCACAGAAAGAAGTGTGGGTCATAGTCTGGAACGTGAAAAAGCTGTTCTTGGAACTTAATTCATATATTGTTATATTCACATTTTATTTGCTATCAGGACCCATGATAGATTGTAAAACTTTCTGCTTCAAGACAAAATATACTTACTTAACTGATGCCGACAGTAACTTTAGTATAGTAGTCTGTTGTAATTTGTCTATTGTTCTGCGGTGCGATCATCATGTTCTTTCTTTTCAAGATTAGATGTCTGTAACAGTTTGAAAATTTTTAGTCAAACTCGATCTTAACTCAAACTGTGTATATTGCATGTCAAAAATTAATTTGCATACTGTAAATTTGATTCATGGGATTACCAGTTCGCTCAACCAGCTAGCCAAAACTCGGGTATTTTCAACTGATTCGGCTCTTTGAACTGAGCCAAACTTGGTACACTGCTGATGAACTAGGCGCCAAACGAGTGAAATGACTTCGATCTGACTAGTAGGCACTACTGATTAGTTTGAGTCGTGTTCAGTTACACATGTCAGTCAGTAGTATATAATGTCATGCATTAATCTTACCACCAATATATACTTGTTTCTATTAGTTCTTTGAAATTGTCTCCGAGTCGGTGTGCTTACTGCATGTTGTTTCCTTCAATCTACTTACTCTTACATATGATATCTGCTCTTCTTGTTGCCTTTATATACCCTGTTTATATCACGTAATTATGGTGTTCGGAAAATAACTAATAATCCGTACATAAAATGCTCTTTTGTGGTAAATAGTAGTGCTCACTAAATTATACAAGCCAGACATGTCCTTATTAAATTCACATTCCTACATCATCAGCTTTCGAAAGTACTTTTCGCTTCTTATTTACCTTCACTCGTTTTTTTTTTAAATGGTCGACATAAATATTTATTTCAATTTAGATTTCGTCTTGAAGCAACATCAGCTAGAGACCATTGGAAATCAGAGAGCACTAGACAGCTGTTTTGTCCCAGATTGGATTTCCTTAGCAGTACACACTCACGAACCCATCTAGAATGGAACCTGAGACTTTCAGGTTACTGGGTAAACCTCGTTGATCATTCAGCTACTTGGGCTGACCTGTAAATTCTAACTTTGTCAATTTGTGATATACCGCCACCCTCAACTAATGCTCTCAATGAGTATCCACTCCGTCTTGACATGGTCGACCCTACTGGTCATGACTTCGCAGTAGGGTTTCAAAACATCCATCCGGTAACCATCAATGAGCTAGTGCAAGTGGTTGAACAGCCTCGTACCCTGAAGGTTCCGGGTTCGATCCCCAGTGGAGTCGTCGGTGTGTACTACTGAAGAGTCCCCGCCTAGCACGAAACAGCTATCCAGTGCTTCTTGGTTTTCAGTGATCTGTAACTGATTTAAGTTTGTAATGAAATCCACATCGAAATTAATCTAAATCATCTGAATAAATATTTCTGATAATAATAGATGCATAGTAATGTTTGTACTATAAGAGCGGTGTGTCAGTTGTGTACATTTTCATAAATTTATGTAGTGCTGATGACGCCTAAATAAATTGACGTGAAATTTTGACATTGTTGCTTTCCTCCCTCTCTTTCTCTTATTTGTGTTTTATTTTCCTTTACTTTGAATGCAATACAATATAAAATTGTGTACTGAACATGTGTGTTGCTTTAAAGTTACTTCAATGTGAATACTTTTAAAGATTTTTCTGTCGACTTCCGTAATAATTTTAATTGTTGAAAAACTATAAATCTAACTTCCTTTCTACATGTGTCATTTATTCAGGTGTTAGCTCTTATTGAATTGTACAATGCTCCCGCTGGTCGTTATAAAAGTGATGTTTACTTGCTACCGAAAAAAATGGGTAAGATAATTATTATGTACTTTAGGGTTATTATTGAATACACTAACTGGTTTTTCTTAGTAGAATACACCAATCATTTGTCAAGATGTTGCGTAATGCTACTGTTGGTAATAATGATAATAACCACTTTATTTCATACAATCATTTAATACAGAATGAGATTTTTAACATTTATATACTACAACAAATTTACTCCCTTTCAACACTAATATCAAATCAATGTTTCTATATAGTTCAGAGACTTGGTTAACGCGTCAGCTAAAGCATTTCCGACATTTTGCTGTAAATTTTCATTGAAAATTGCCTTCGCTGTATTACTGAAGACCAGATGGCTAGAAATGATAAGCAAAAATGAACTCTAGAAACCAACCAACCAAGGATCTATTGCCTATCAAATACACCGAGGGAGATAGAAGTGAATTGGAAGTACACTTAGGAGACTATTGAATGGTATCATACATCAGAACGTCAAGTGGAACCCGAGTCGGAAGTGACTGGTTAAAAGTCTGTAGGCGACATGAAGGAGATTATATGAAGAGGCAATAAAAGCCTGTTAGATAGTCTTACAGCCAGTTGAGAATTATAGCAGAGAACCGAGTATAAAGTGGAGATCTATCACTAGAAACACAAGGGATCAATAGTGATAATAATAATATTATAACATTACAAACAAATAATCATCAAGTGTTTATTTTATTCAAACTAACTTGGAGACAGTCATTTTGATTTTTGTATGCACACTTCATGACACGCTGCCGTCCACTACAATATTTTCTCTCGAATTTATGCCAAACACAAAAATGTTTTTCAGTATATAAATGGAAATAATACTATTTGAAAAACATCTTTGAGTGATTGAAATAAAAACAAAGTGTAATTCTGAGCAATAAATTTTTTTTCGACGGAAGTGGATATTTTGATATCCCAAAACGTAAATAGACTACAAGAGTAGTGATGATCGAAAATTATGAAGGTGTAAAATTACAAGTAAAGCTTTCAGCATGTTCGTTCAATCCATGTAATACAGTTGAGCAACTAGTGTTCTCAAGACGTTTATTTACATCACGGGTATAAATGCTTCCCTTTATTATTGATTTAGTTGTTCTATGGTTTCTTCTCTTTCACGTGCCAAGCGGTGAGCCTTGATAATACAATCTAGCCGTCCAGGCTTGAGTTGATGGAACAGGACTCGAACCTACTATATGAAAGACAATAAGTTACATGTCCACCGCAAACAAAATATGTGGTGTCCCGGATTATGGTGATATTCACGCTATTATATATTTCTGTGTATTAAGGTGAAGTTAGCTTATTTGTATTTTAATGAATGCAGTTGTTCAGTCCTATATGTGCAGATCGAAATACGTAGATCAGTTCCTCAACGTGCAGTTTATGTTAAGTGACAGGACCTTACTGTTCACTGTGCCTTACCTTTGTTTAGTATCAGGTTTAACGATGCCCTTAACCACCATTTGATGATGGTTTGACCCTAGAATGTCAGTGAAAAATTATCGAATTGAGTTGCACATTATCGTTTGACTTTTCTTCGAATTCACACTTACGCACTGGGGTCCGGCAGTTCCCATAGTTCTTAACCTGATATCTCCATTCGATCCTGTTAATGCAAATAGCTTTGTGATGACGTCTCATTGTTATGGGTACGTCAGGGAAGTCTATTATGGCAGTCGAACACTTTACTCGTACTTATGCGATAAATAACAGCCTGTAGTGGGTGTTTTTTTTAATCTAAAATTATGTTAATGAGTACTGTTGTTCTCCAGGGATACGCGATGCTGATATTTGTATTTTATGTTGCTATGAATGTGCTAATTAACAGATGTACATCTACATTTAGGTGATCCGCCTATCACTATCTTTCCTTTATATCGATTTACTCTTCAGTTTAATGAGAAATATACCTTGATCTGTGATACTGTATAGTATACTTGTTTGATACATGACAAAGGAAACTCAAGGTCACATATTTTTGTTTTCTTTGAAGTACCGCATATATGTGTGATTGAGTCACATTGTAAATACTGAGGCTAAGTACAGATTCCAAAGTAATGCGAAATAACACGTTGATTTAATAAATGTCTGCATTTACTGCCATACCTGCCATACTTGCTTCGCTTAATATTCTACCATTCTCTACCACATCAGTTATAAATTGGAAAAATATACATACCACGTAATCCATAAAATTTCTACTCAGTAGCTCTATATGGCTTTTATGTGTGCAGTACAAGAAAAATTGTAGAATTTTGCGTATATGCTCTGTAATAGTCGAAGTAAAACGTTCGGAAGATGCTTTCCCTCAACGTAGATTTCTTGGTGTGGACATTTTTATTCTTCCTTATCTAGTCTTCCTGTTTAAGTCCCTTATTATTGATAGTTTTGTGAACTTCATCAATTGGTCGAGAAGCCTATCGGTGTACATCGTACGTTAATCGCATATAAGTCTACCTAAATTCGATTCTTTAGAACATTCTGTATCAAAGTGATCAGATGATATTAAGAGTTATACACACCTTATTTTGGTCACTGAGATTCACATTAATATAGAAGTTAAATGGTGTCTGTATATTCGTGTACACTCTAAAAGGATCGAGTTCACATATTAAACCAATAGTAATAAAGTTATCGATGACTTCATTTTCCTCCATCTGAAAGAATGAAAACCACTGGTGTTCGTCAGGGATACCTACTGTCCCTATTTCCGTTCAGTTTCATCATAAATCAACCTAACTAACTTTAGCAACTTAGGGATTGACTTGTTACTTGGGTAAAGTCTTATTGACCCGGAGCAGGCGGATGATATTGTGTTCCTACTAGAAGACGCTGATAAAATGCAGTCTTCTGAACACTGTGAGCAGAAATCTGAGAATGTTTGGTATGCGATTCGCTCCTGTCATATGTAAGATGACGCTGCAGCACTGAACTGCACATATTCCTAGCCTGAAGATAGGGAGTAAAATGATTGAACCTGTTAACCACTTCACTTATTTTGGACTGATTGCTGATGAAATCTCAAAACAGATGCACGAGGCTGATGAAGCTTCGCCAATTTGTCATTTGTGACATAGACGTGATATCCGACTATTGATCAAAGCTGGCGTATGCTTCTTAGCTGTTCACTCTGTCCTCCTTTATGCCTGTGAGATGTGAAGAAGCTGACTGTATTTGACCACGTATTTGCATTCTATCTCCTCAGTTAAGTGTTATAATTTGTTGAGGAAGGGAAGTCAGTCGAGGAGGTTGTAAAGCTACATCTATTGAGATGGCTAGGATATGTTTTATGCATTTCAAGCCACCTCTCTGCTGAACGAGCAATGTTAAATGACATAGAGTTGTCGAATCAAAGCCTCGAATCAGTCGATCAAATTCTGACAGTTAGTTTAAACCACGTAGATAGGTATAAACCGTCTAGCTGGGGTTTTTGGGATGCTAGGAATCAATGGCTAAAGACTGTTGGCGATATTGCTCAAAAGCCGTCCTCAGTGGCACAGACGCATTCACTCTTTGTAGTCTCCCATGTCTATTCAGTGTTACTAACTATTCTTTCTCCCTCACATTTCTGCTTATTGTAGTCGTTTTGAATCTCTTTTGTCTACTTTTTTGTGCTAAATGGAACGTGGTAACTTGAACTGGTACACTTCTCGTCAAATTTCTGTGTTGACATTCATTTTGTCATTTTCCGACTACACAATCACCGTCATGCTCAAAGTAAAATCTTTCCATTTAATAATGCCAATCCAGAACAGTGTATACTGAAATATTTGAATCTTTATTGTGTCCAATTTTCTAAGCTACTGGATAACCCAGAGACAAAGATGATTTTGATGGAAAACAGTTCCTGTAAAGGACAAATATTCTTTGAACTCATTCACCAGGATATGAGGCACACTTATTGTGTTAAGGCGCTGATTTTACTACCTAGTGACATGCGCCTTACTTTGTGGAGGAAGATTGAAATCCATCGGCTGGAAGTCGAATGCTTAAGCCAATGAATCAAATCTCTTCACTAAAGAAGAAATAACATTAGGCCCATTTGCATCTTAAGAATGGGAAAGAAAAAATAATTATGTGCTAATTAAATTCATATTTAATGAATAGCTGACAGTGTAGGGAATCTTACCTCTGTCTGGGTTCAACATAGAACTTGGCACCGAAGTGCAGCAGTTCGAGTTGCCACGTTCCAAATAGCACACAAAGGTAGACAAGAAAATGAGTGAAGAGAATCAATAGAGTTTTGACAAGTATAAGAGTGAAACAGAATGAGTAACAGTGGAAAGGAATATGAAAGATTACAGAGACTGAATACATCTGCGTAAGCCATTGACAACAATTTTGAGCCATGTCACCTATTGTCTCCAGACATTGATTCTTAGAGTCCTGAGGGCCCCAACCCGGAAGTCTGCATCTCCCTACCTGACTCAGTTTAACTGTCAAGGATTTCATGGATTGATGTCATGTTTTTGTTTGGCCACCACTTACTCTTTTCCAACCTGCACCTATATCAGCTAGTAATGCCCGTCGGGGGAGGCGATGGTTAGGCATGCGCAACACGTGACCTAGCCATCTCAATCTATGTAACTTTATAGCCTCTTCGATTGATTTTCCCTCTTTGCCCAACACTCTACGCCTAACGTCAACATTACTTACCTTATTATACCACCTAACGCGAGAAAGAGATCGTAAACATCTGTGGTCAAAAACAGACAACCTTTTCATGTATTCAACTCGTATTGGCCATGTTTCAGAGCTATAGAAAAGGACGGAGCGAACTGCTGAGCAGTACACACGTCCCTTGGTTGATAGCCGGATATCACGCCTACACCAGAGACGGTGTACGTTAGCGAAAGCAGCCCGAGCTTTTTGGATCCGTGCTGAGATTTCGTCACCAATCAATCCGTTGGTGCTGATACAACTTCCCAAATAGGTGAAGTGGTCAACATGTTCTATCACTTCACTCCCTATCACTAAGCTAGGAGTTGACGTAGTCCAGTCTTGTAGCAGCATCTTACATTTTACAGGGGCGAATCGTGCCAAACATACGAAAATCTTACCATTCGTAGGACACTTGTAATATAGTTTAAATTTGTAGCTCAGAGGGATGCTTTTGTTCTCTCTGGGCCGGACGCTTTAATTGTGAAGACTTTGTTGTCCTACTGGACAACGTCTTCAGTGCTAACTTCAATATGAACTATTGTCTCCTTAGGTCAACGGGAGGGTTAATAACAATGCATAAGGAAATCTACGGAAACAACCGAATTACCGTGAAAATCACTACCTGTATAGAATTCCCAAAGTTCACTCCACATTGCAATTTGCGTTGAAGATGTTATCTAGAAGGATAATGAAGGCTTCACGACTAGACTGTCCAGCCCAGACAACTCATCAATACCATAAGAAACAATTTCACTGAAAATGTATTTTTCAATATGATGTGAAAATATCTGCGTGATTTGCATATCTTTATTTTTTGTTTAATATGTGTTCATATTTTTACGGTCAGACTTCTATTAGGTCAGTCTGTCTCTGAATAACACTTTTATTATTTTTTTTATAACAAAATTCGTTTTTTTCAGATGAATATGTGGCAACCTTACATCTTCCACTGTTTAACGCCCGAATCACAGAATTGACAGATGAACAAGCTCGATATTTGGGTGTGAATAAAACAGGTCCATTCAAGCCAAGCAATTACAAGTTAGTTAATAATGTCGACATATTTCCTGTTATATCGTTTTAGTATTTGAAACATTGTTTTCTTAGCTAATAAGATCAATTGTCATACATTTAAGCGGTTTTGTTCAATTATTTTCGTAGTCTAAATGTTCTTTTTTTGTTGAAAGGTTAGTCTTATGTTATGTTCTCCATAAGTGGTTTAGTTGAGAAGAGCACTATGTTTAATATTGAAGACACCGTCTAAGCATCTGGATTTCGCGGATGATTTATGTTTGATGTCACACAAAATCGAAGACTTACAAGCGAAAACCGACAAACTGGTCGAAGAAGCAGCAGGTGAAGACAGGACTCCAGGTGAACATAGACAAGACGGAGGTTATGAAAATAACCAACCAACCAACAACAACAGCAGCAACATCCAGCCCCAATCACCATCAACGGGAGGGATTTGAAAGAGGTTACTTCATTCACTTATCTAGGGAGCATTGTCTCAACCACAGGAGGAACGGACGAGGATGTCAAATCGACAATCGGGAAGGCGAGAAACACATTCATCAACCAATCTGGAAATCTTCGTCACTCAGCCTGTATCAACAACAAAATTCGGATTTTCAATACAAACGTCAAGTCAGCCAGTTCTTCTATACGGATCAGAAACTTGGTGGATCACAAAGAATATTTCCAACAGCCTGTTGCAGACCTCTACCAACAACTGTCTTCGTTCTATACTGAAGATCAGATGGCCGGAAAGAATCACCAACAAGAAACTATGGAAACAAACAAAACAAGAACCAATCGCTGAACAAATATGCCGGAGAAAGTGGAGATGGATTGGACACTCGCTGAGGAGGCCACTGGGTGACATTGCGCGTCACGCCAACGCTCGAGTGGAACCCGAAAGGGAAGTGGCGAGTGGGACGTCCAAGAGTGACATGGAGGAGATCGTGTGAAGAGGAATTGAAACAGTATGGACTAACATGGATGCAAGTGAGAAGTACAGCAGAAGACAGAAGCAAGTGGAGACGCGCAGTTGAAGCCCTATGTTCCACTAGGAACCCAAGGGAACAATAATAATAAGCATCTGTTCTAGGCACTGATATGTCAACGGAAACCTAGCATTTCGGTCCGATACAATAAACCAACGGGAATTTGAGAAGTAACTTCAAAAAATAACAGCTCACACGAGTTCCATAAGAGGTGGTTCCCATGCCCCACTGGTCCCAATTCTGATATATTTAGTTGACTAGTTGAAAATAGGACAAAACCTGAACTCCTTGGTTTCACGGCTAGTTGGCAGCAATCAATTTATTTATATTTACTGATGAATATGTTCAGAAACTATTGGTGGCAAATGGAATTACTGTTCAGTGGTTTTTTTAACTTAAACTAACCATATTTTTAGCGAAGCAAATAACGTGAATCTTCATACCTACGTTGTTAAGACTCTTTACATAAATAAATATTACTCATTCGTGATAATCGTGGTGATTTCCTTTTAAATTTGATATCAAAATGTGAACAGTGCATCAAACTACTTGTTTAGTAGAAATATAGGCGAGGTTAAACTTTAGACACCCAATAGGCGCGAACTCACTAATGATCCTGGGATGCTAAGTCAAACCATGGCAATGGAACCGGGTAAGTAGTACTACATTCATGAACAATGGTTTTGAATGAAGTTTAATGGTACCTGGTTAGTTTTAGGTTATGGTTAAGGAAATATTAATTTCAGGTTTGAGCTAGAGATAGTTTGGGATTCAGATTGATTTAGAGGACCAAATTTACCTCTTAACGCAATTACTCTTTCCAAGGTTATCGGTGAGTTTGTACCTCTTGGGCATCTCAAGTTGGGCTTTGACAAACTACTCAGACAAATGCATCACGTTTGATAGTTAAATACTGATCCACAAATAAAAAATAAAAAATCTTGTAGAACATCATACAGTTGCTATTTATGTGTTGCTTAGCTCCACATTGTCCATATCGTCTAACTACTTGTTCAAACTGAATTGGGCTTTAAGTCTTTTATATTTCTATCTCTGTCTGTCTCTGAATTTCACTTTCAGGTACTGAAGAAGTCATTATTTCTTCGTTTCAATTTCCCCCCCCCCCTCATCCTCTTGATTGTCGATGCGTTTACAAATTGAGAAAATGTCTTCCCGTCTCTGTAATGTATCAAACATTTAGCTCAACTTTTGTGGCAGTTAACAAAATGAAACACGAGAATCTGTATAATTCTACTTATGATGTGTGTGTGTGTGTTACGCATGCATATATCAATGTGTTTATTTATATCATATTAGTGATTAATCTCCTTCTGTTTTCTTCCTGCTGATTTTGATTCTGTAACTTTCAAGCACATTCCAGTTCATTCTGTAGCAATAAACCAGCTGTTTCTTTTGTTTGTTCGTCTGTTTGTCTGTATTTCATTCTTTCAACTTTGATTCATTCTTTTTTCTCAGTTGCTCTTACTTTTTTTTTTGTTCCCGTCTCCATATCCTACTCAAAATGGAATGGTTTAAATTGGGATTTTTCTCTTAGTGATAAGTTTTACTAGAGTATGTAGTATAACTGCATTCTAGCGTGAAGTTCTTCACATTCATTAAGTCTATAGTGCCTGATTATATAACTAGTACTTTTTTTCCTTACTTATTTCCTCTCTTTTTTTTACTCATTAGTAGTTTTGATAAATTTAATGTGAAAATGTGAAATACTACTACTATTCTATGTACGTTTTCAAAAATAATTATAATAAGCACTAATCATCTGATCTCTGGTATAGAATAACAAATTGATATTAGACAGAACTCTTGACTTATTGATCTTGATTATTCGATGTTAAATTTTTCTTACTATGTATGTATTCAGTTTCTGTATATATATATATATATACAGCATTAAAATATTTGCACTGTATATTTAACTAGTATGTAGACATAAACATGTTAGTTAATTGCTTGTTATGTTCTTTTTCTGAAACAAAAAATAGAGTTCTTCACTATTCTGACATTCTTTATTCATTTCAAAAAGCTCTTACATCAGTTAGATACTACTAGTACAGACAATGAAAAAAGGCACCGCTAGTCAGTTGTAAATTAAAATCTTTTAAGTGATACACTTTGATAACAGGTAATAGTGTCCTTGTGCCGCTGTCTCTCTCTCTCTGTCTTTAGATTGCTTTTCACTTTCGGGATTTTTATTACATATTGTCTAATCTTGTTTTCTTTTCTTTCTGTTAGTGTGTAATAAATTATACTGTTGGTAGATTAGGAATGTAGTAGTCTCCACACTTTCATTATTTAACCTATTTTATAAATTATTCTGTCTAGTAACTGTTTTTCTTACTCCCGTTTGTTGGGTTGAAAGTGATTAAAAAGTCGAATGCTGGTTAAGAGGGATGACAATTGTGGCCCACCAAACATTGACTCGCATTTGCGCTACATTATATATATATATATATATATATATATATATATATATATAGGTCGTAAATTGGCAGAAGTTAGGATTTTTGCGCCAATGGATTCTATCTCAGTAAGTGAATAGCAATATGTTCACCAATTAACCTTGTCGGCCTGATTAAATCGTATGCTATCAGAAAAACCCTCCATCATTATGTTGCATGTAATTTCTCGTATTCACCTGCTAAAATATGGCCTCTAGTCGCATTGTTTACTTTGGCGAATATTTAAAATGTTTGAAACTTGTTGATTTGTAAGTTTTCACTAAACCTGAAAAATAGGCATTATTCTGGTTGACAATGTACGTTAATACGTATTCCAACACACCAAATGACTGTTCCCGAGATTACGAGTACAAACTGTCGATCCCTGCCTAATGAGATTAACTTCCTGCAATCTCTCATGTCTTCCAGTGCATATCGCAATACAGGGATAGTGACTCTTCAAGGAACTCGGCCAAATCATCTATATACTGAGACAACGATGGTGTAGCTGTAAGAAGAAATGTGGTGGTGGCGTTGCAATCTTTATCAATTCTCAATGGTCTACTTCCGATAATCCATATATGTATTGAATTCTCAGGCGACGTAATCGATTGCATTAGTGTTAACTATCAACCGAAATATCTGTCTAGATTTAAATTTTGAACATGTATATCGCACCTGCTTGTAGTCTCTCAGAACTGTCCTTATTTGCTGATGAATTCACCTTCTTTGCTGACAACTTTTCTGGCAACCCTTGGTCAGTAGTTTCTGGAGATTTAAGTTCATGTGACTTTGGTTTCCTTACATCACTGTCAACTGCTGATTTCGACTAGGTAACGCTCTTTATTTAATGTTCAAAAATGGTTTCGGCACATATGAAGTTCGGAAAACATCCCCACTACTAAATTCGGATGGTCGTATTGTAACAGCAGAAGACAAGGGTCAGGCAACAGATCGTTTATTAAGGAAAATCAACACATATTTATAGATTTCAATGTACATTATTGTAGATTATTGTTAGTAATAAATACAGTCTTTTGATTGGTTGTTTCTCACAGAAAGTTAACTTTGCATCTCTTTGTGGCTGTGTCAGATCATCCATATGCTAGCTGTGTCCGCCTACGCCAAGCCTTTGTTCTCATTTTCTCACCACCAATATTGGGGACATAAACATTGACGTCAATTACTATCTAACTTTGGCTAGCAGCCAGCTCTCACCACAGTATTATACGAATATTGTCAAAATATATGGAAATCAACAAAAAAGGGCTTCTCACCTCTGCAAGAAATCTCAACATAGATGTTACCCTCAGAAGAACACAGAGGAACTCAGAAGCGTGTTAAAATATACAAACAGGGACTTATTTGCTGAACAATTTCTAGAGGACATCGCAAATACAACATGCTATTGTCACTTGTTAGTTTGCGGGGACTTGGTCGGTTGCAGGATTGATCGCTAGCTGACATCAGTTAGAGAGCCATTGGAGAACCAGCAGTGCGCACCCACTGGGGTTCGAACCTGAGCTCGTAGTCGGGGGTCCTGGCTTCTATCCCCGGTGGGTGCTTACTGATGAAGAGTCCGAAACTAGGACGAAACGACTGTCCAGTTTCCCCAAGTTTTCCAATGGTTTTCTAACTGATATCAGCTTGTGATCAATCTTATAACACGTTATAGCAACAATAAAGAATAGATGCCCCAACCAATTCTATCCTTCTGCGTAACAGGGGGCATTTATAATATTAAAAAATTATATTTCCAGTATAAATATATATACCTATAATAAAAACGGTTTAAGTAGAGTATACGTCTCTAATAGGCCGCAAAAGCGGGTCCCAGCTCTTCATAGGAGTGGTTATAGACATATATCATTATAATTCGTTTTTTAGATATACCCGAAATCCTTTTTTAAAATTTGTATGAGTAGCACTCATAGAATCAGCTCATGAATGATTGGCTTTGAGACGAATATAATCTAATGATGATAGTCACATCTCAGCACTTCAAATAGATGCTGTCCACAATCACTTTAACCCTGAATTATGGTAAATCTTGTAATGAAGTTTATGAAACACACTCATTTGCAATGTTGGGTGATCTGATTGGTTGGTTCAGGGTCATTCAGCCGTAGTATCTGTTCTTTTCTCTTGCCCGTAAATTCATTTTGATAGTTAAACAATTTTAATGGTTATTGCCTTTTGACCCTGAAGTTTCCAGGGTAATTATAAATTCTATAGCCGATTTGTTCCAAACATACTATTAGTAACCAACTGCTGTAAAGAACTTTAAATAACAATTGATAGGACTGAAATTAAGTGCCATTTCCAGGGTCATTTACTAGAGTTAACCTTGAAGAATCGTAGTAACTGGCGAAAATGCATATTTTAGTTACTTATGTAGGTCACTTTCATCCATGTTAGTCGGTCATATTGCATTGATGTTTGCTAACCGTTCCTTCATCCCGCTTTTATGTGTTTCCTACAGTTATTTGCATTAAACCATAATGTGGATTATTCATTCATCTTGTGTTTAACATTCTTTTTGTGTTTGTTGCCAATGAAATCAATTATTTCGTTTGTTTTCAGTGTTTCTGCACTCATTTCATTGTGATAGTTTCATGCTTTTTACAGTGTTGTGATTATTTTTCATACGTTAATGAAATGTTGTGCAGAACTATTTAAAATTATACACATAAACACATTATGATGACACGCATTGTTTTCTCCAGCCGATTTGTTGGTTGATGTTATTGTCGCTGGTCCAGACAGTTGTATGATCTAGAGAAATCTGGAAAAAAACTGTGTTTTCCTTATTGATGCTTATGGCATGCAACCATTTACAAGACGATCTGGTGAAGTAAACTCAGAGTGTACATTAGTAAGGCCTATAGAATGTAGAACTTCTACTAAAGTTGAAGAGATGGTTATGTTATTCGGAAGATGAGCATACCATGAACTTGTCTACTTTCGGATAGCAAACACTCAATATTTTGTGGGAAAATATGAATTCAGTTAGTATGAACCACAACTGAACTGTGAATATGTGGTGCTTGCGTGAACATTTGGAAATTATAATAATTGGCTAACAATCATAGACGTGTAAGAGAGTAAGTTTCATCGGCTGTTGTTAATACTAAATGTTCTAGATCTAAATAGATAGGTTGTATGTCAGTGATACGCATCCGTATTCATTGCTGCACTCATGAATAGTTAATGCTGGATATGAAATGTCATCAATTGAATAAATCAGAATTGGTTGTAGTAAAGCCAGTGTTAGCTATTTTACCAGAACCTGAAGAGGTGACTGAATATGTTTTTAAAATGTATGACATACGATAATCTAAGGAGTATTCGAACTACTTTGGTTGAAGGTAGGATATCATTTGGCAGCAGAAATGTTTTTTGATTGGCTTTGAACCTGTGAGTTTTTCAAAATTACATTAGACTAGGGGAGTGATTATTATTGAGGATGAAAACACTTTTCGAAATTTGGTTTTGTTAACAATGCATCTTTTCACTTGTGTTTCTTAGTACAGTGCTGTTCATCTTTGGACGTGAACAGTGTCAGCACATCACAGACCGTGAAAACTTGGATGTACTATAGTATCATAATCGGAATAGTATGTGATAA